AAGATGAACAGAAAGCTTTTACCAAAAGAACTGTTGGGTGTTATTTAAGAAAAGAAAAGAAAAAAAAAAGAAAATAAAGAAAAACAAAAGAAAGGGAATCAAAACTATCAGTATAATTTGTATGTTAATTATGATAATATCTTAATTCAATTGCTTTGCAAAGCAAAACTTAATTTCAATGCTTTGTTATGACAATAATAATGTTTTTGCGATTATGTAAATTTGATTTGTAGTATTGTATCTTTGAATGTAACCATGTATATATAATCAATAAATCCTCTGATGAGGCAAAGAAAAAAAAAAAAAAAGACATTCATGATCGAAATTCAAAATTTCCGAAACCATTTTCCCAACGGTTTTTATAACACTACAGTCTACTAGGGAAAATAAGTATGGTAAAACTGGTCACTTTATGATTTTAAAAAACTTTTTTGAGGCACTTCATGATCATTTTGTAGCGCAATTTTTGTAGGGCTTCAATATTACACCATAACAGACACTGAGAACACGTAGGGCCATGCATCTGAGATTTGAATATTACTAAACAATGCCTTTAATGTGCGGTTTACTTTTGTGACGTACCATTGATGTAATAAGTCATGTCAAGTGTTCAACACGATCTCGATTACAGACTTATCGTCATTTTCAAAGAACTGATGCTATTTTAAACTCAGTCACGTACGTGAAGTAAATTAAGTCGCCTTGTATATTCCGTTTGTTGTTTATCAGTCAATATTATTAAAGGTAAAATGCTAAGTTCGGTGGATGAATTCTTGAGAAATCAAACCAAGCTTACATCAAGAGTTTTATACTACACATAGGCTGATAGTGGCAGACAGTGTCCCTTTTGCAGCCAACATCAAATTCTGTAGAACTTTGCAGGAATTATGAATATGTCATGTATGATCCTATCTGTGAAATTTAAACGTTAGCAGTGTCCTAATATTCAAATCATGCAAGGCAACCCGTATACTTGCTAGACTTCACTGTCAGACACTATTGAGTGACAAGCTGGCCTTTTTCTTCTTTGGTAATAACATACATAAAATGAGCTGTAAAGGCTACATGAGCATTTGTCTACATCAATAACCCATTTATTGTAATGGCCAAATTTAAACTGATTGAATCTTGGCGCAGCACACAACGTACGACCATTCGGTACAATGGTCTGAAAATCAGACTATTACTTAATGACTCGGTAGCATTAAAGTCGATTTGACAACTAATGGTCGTTATTTTCCCACTTAAAGACATTTTCAACCCCCCCCTTTTTTTTGGGGGGGGGGGGGGGGATTTCTAATTTAGTATTATCTTTCAACTGCCGTTGGAATCTAGGCCTATCCTATTCATTTTTTGGCCTGCAAATGGGACAGAGTAGATGAGGGGTGAGTAAAGGATTGTAAACAAATCAAGTTTTAGTCTCAACAATTGGAACAATAAAATCAAACCGGCCAAAGTACAAGAGAGATAGCTGTCTTGCAGAATCCAAAAGTCAATGAGATCATTATTTCAAATCAGCCTCCACTGACAAAGATCATGACACGTAACGTGGTTTATTGGTTTTGTTATTAAACCGTGCTAGTATAGCGCAAATCACATTATAATATCATATCAGTATGAGGCCGCCATCCATCTCCAGCCTATCCGCTCACGATGGTGGTCTCCTGCGTTCTAAATTACCTCTCTAATTTATTGAAAAATATTTCATATTTCTTATCTTATCTGTATGCTTCGTACATGTTTATCGTATGATATAATTGTACATGATTTTCTATTTAATTACTTTTGTAAACATTGTATTCATTGTATTTGTTATTGTTCGAATTTTTGTACTTTGAATTTGAAATTGTATCTTTTGAACGCAGAAATAAAATCAATCAAACAAACACAATATCCCTTATTCGGGAACATGATGTCTTTAATGACATAACTCGTTCATACAAGAACTATGATTCTAAATGGCTAAAAAAGACACATCTGCATATAATTATTTTTTCGATTGGCGGAAAAAACATCGAACATTGCACTCCAGATAACACATTTTTTTGGCAGCCTTGACATTAATTTTTGGCAATAGCAGAATGATTCAAAGGAAAAGGAAAAACATGGAGATCCGGTTTCTGGTTTGAAAAAAGAAAGTAAAACAAACTTTTACATGACTTTGTAGAGGCATTAGATTGTATATATTTGTTGTAAACAAGTGCAAAAAGTTACCTCCCACCCGTACCTAAATATACTTTAACAAGTGACTTTAAACTGTGGTTTAATATTGGGACAAATTTAGAATAGAGACAATGAACCCGAATGTTCGCGCAAAAAAAAAAGGGGGGGGGGGTGCTTTTATTTATGCCTATTTATTACCGGTAGTCAAATATATCGTGTGTGTAGTTTGTTTGTTTTTCATGGGGGAAAACAAAAATTGATCCTGGAAGATTTAAGTACTTGATACTCGTGACCTTTCCTTAAAAACGATGAATCTTGGAACGACAAACTATGGATACTATGGGCTATGGGCTCATTAATCCATGATATGTTATCAAAATAATTTTATATGCTTGACATTAACATGAATTTACGCCAAAATAATCTCAATATTTCATGCGTTTTTAATGTGTCATTCTTCCGTCGTTGGCTTGCTTGCTTTGAATATTGAAGGGTGTACACACGTTCGTAGATAATGTATAGTTTGAACTTTGAAGGAAAATAATAAGTCACGCGATCAAGTCACTCTGCAACATATATGAAGACATCCAGGAAATGCGTGAAAATACACGTTTGCGTTAATTAGATACAAAGTTCATTGCTTGATTTGATTTAGTTCATTTTGCATTCATTGCAAGTATAATCAAATTTTGTTTACATAACTTACATAAAATGCTAAAAGGTACTTTCTGACGATGAAACATAACATAATAAGCAATGTTATGCTGCGCATAAAAGTGTAATGGCAGTTTAATATTAAGACAAATTTTCTTCTATATCAAAATTTCTAGTCTACACTTCAAACAACAAAGGTGAAACGTGACCCAAAATATGACATAGAAAAAAAATATATATACATTTCGAAATTTTGTATTGCCACTTCGTTCTGTAAAAAAGTTACAATTTTTTAAAATCGTGAATAAATATATCTTCAACTAATTGAAACACATAATATAATTCCAGCCAAAGATAATGATATCGCAAAAATACGCTTAGTTGTGTTAGAGAAATATTTTCATCAGATGTTTTTTTCTTCTTTAGTTGAATTTATGTGCCAAATTAGTTAGATAGCTCGCTCAAAATATTAACGTAATACCTGTTTTTCTTCAGCTGTAGACGTATTAATGGGTTGGTGGTGGGGAGGGGGGGGGGGGGTGGTCGATATTGGGTTGTCATAAACTTGGTAAATGTTTCAGGAGCACATTGTGTAGCTATGTCCTTCCTGTACATCCTTTATGTGACATCAACACAATATTCTTTTTCGGGTTAACGGACTTTGCTTCTTGTACCAGCAATGTCATTCGCCTGCATACTATGGGATCAACTGTGCATAAATCAGATGTTGCTATGCCGGATCAGCCTCTGACAAGCCTTTTAGTTGCAAAGAGAAAGTTTTGTTTAAAAAGTATGCATCAAATTAGCAAACTGGTATAATGTTTACGGGTAATTAGGACATCAAATCCTGAATCTGATGGGTCAGATTTAAATACACATAAGTGGCCAGTTATCAGATGCTCCATCGACATTGACCTCGATTACATCGAGCTATCCTTGATAAAAGGTATTGTTGTGGAGGTTGCCAATGGTTCGGATGTGCACGTGGTTTGACCAGGGACTGCTTGCCGAGACCCTGGGTTAACCATTATCTCATCCGAGGTCATTTTGCACGATAAACATATTTTCATTAAAGGAAAATCCAACCTTGATAAACAACTACTCTATAGAGAAAAGCAGAAAATTATGATAAGTGTATATATATTATAAACTATAGTAATGGTTCAAATGAAATCGGACAAAAATTAAGAAAGCTAAAAATAATGTTGAAAGCAATCATTATACGTATGGGCACTTCAAATCGGCTGATTCGTTAATGTCACTGTGACGTTGTGCTGAACAACTTTCTTCAAATGTAAATTTTTCATTATGTATAAATGACTAAAGCAGGGCTCCCACTTAACCGAGTTGGAGCCTCGAGTTGTGGCGAGCTGGTGCGAGCTTATGTCAAGCCGTTTTTATCATTAAAACATATTTCTTGATATCAAGAATTGAATTCTTGATATCACGAAATCGAATTCTTGATATCACGAAATCGAATTCTTGATATCAAGAATTACCATTGCTTTACAACGTAAAATTATTTCTTGATATCAAGAAATATGTTTTAATGATAAAACGGCTTGCCATAAACTCGCGCAAGCTCGCCACAACTCGAGGCTCCAACTCGGCTAAGTGGGAGCCCTGCTTAAGGATTGCCTTTTATTTTGCCTTGTGATGGAGATAGTTTGCATCTTCAGAAGGACAAGATCCGAGGCGGATTTGGTAAGGGTACCTAATTCGTCTAGAAACCGTATTTGCCTTGACACCGACCCTTCGTCCACCCCCCCCCCCCCCAAGGGGGAGGCTCTAAAAATCTCCTTATTACCAGTCCATGCCGGGCATATCTTGGCACATGTCGTTATCAGTCATTCTTTTTAGGGATTTTTATAGATTTAATTCAGTTTGAACTCTTTTCTAGAATTTAGACAAAAGTACATTATTTTAAGCTTGTTACCAGCTTACCAGAAATAATTGATAATTCAGTTGACTGAAATTCAAGTTCACACCAAGTGATGGCTGTGATGGAACAGAAATAAAAGTTATAGAAGTTATGAAATAGCTATTTGTATTATATAAAGTGCGAAATTTAACCTGTCTCGAACTTGGAGTATTTCCTGAGAACTTTAAAGTTGAATATTTAGGATCCCAGATTTGGCACCTTTCCTTAAATCAATTGTAATAGATTTCTTCTTTAATATTAGGTGAATGAACACGCTTGATTGACATCTCTCTCCAAACGGGTTCAGCTCATATTTAGTCATCGTCGTCTTCGTCATCGTCGTCGTCGTCATCGTTGTCGTCGTCATCGTCGTCGTCACCATCATCGCGCCCGTCATCGCAACCGATGTCATCATGGCAGTATTCAGCTTCAGGCTCGGCCTGTTGACGGTGATCATATGCGGGGTCGTGTTCACATCATGGACACTGGATGCGTTGATATCGGAGCAGGAGACTCTTGAGAGGTAAACTCATACTTTATTTGATTCATGATTTATGACTGAAAAGATTCTGGTATCTTGTATTATACAAAATATTAAAGATATTCAGGCAACCGTCACCCCATTAGGGCAGAGGGGTTCCCAATTGTGTAATTGTATATGTACTTTTTTCCTAGTTCACTTAGCTCACTTGCCCCCCCCCCCCCCCCATAAAAAAAGAAAGAAAAAGGATTAGAAAGTTGACAGTCGGGCAAGATGCGTCAGCCCCCTCCCACAACTTGCGTAAACGTGCCCATACATTTTTTTATTTTTTTATTTATCGTTATGTCACGGTGTGGAATCGGGGGAATCTAACGATTATAAACGCCCACTTGCACACATCATAACGCACGTATTTGTAACCTTTTTAAACCCTGATTGGAAAATGAAATGAGTCCTTTAATTAATCATTCTTTACAATAATTATCATGTCTGAATTTAGATTTGTAAATAATTAATGTTTATGTGAAATGGACTGGTAAAGTAGATATAATGTTTAGCTTGATTATTTCTGTTTATCGACGCTGTAAGTTTGAAATAAAGTATGAGTGTTTTTTTTCTTTTATCTGCATACTGTTTTTCTTTAATATTGTAAAAATAGGCTACATGTAGGCCCGATATTTATTTATTTTTTTATTATAATTGTGTAATGAGATTGGAATCGTATAGCTGTGGAGAAAAAAATGATTGATGCTTGAAATATAGTGAGTATAACCATGATTACTATAAAAAAAAAAAATTAAATCCATACAATTCGTATAATTTGTCATCATTGTACATGTATTTTGTTTGTTATAGCGCTTAGAGCTTCGGTGATAAGCGCTTTATTTTTTATCAAAATGCTTGATTTTCACGTAAAATCAAATCATTTATTTGTTTTCCCATCCTTTAATTTGTTTCACTCAGCAGCAGCAGCAGTATAAGCAGCAATATGCCTAGTGAGAAATCGTTGAAAACAAAGACTGTGATTGGTGTACAGAAACTTGAGAACAGATTGTTAGCCAATAGGAAACATGCTAACGAAATGACATTAGCCAATATGATTCATGAAGATACGTCTGATTCAGCCTTCCCCTTTGATGAGGAAAGCATTGATGAGGAAAATGAGAAAGAGGACGGAGATGAAATCAGGTCCGATCGTGAAAGTGGAAAAGCAAACGATGCTGCTCTGCCGGAGATAAAAACATTTTACACAGCGGTGAAAACAACGTGAGTAAAAAGATTAATAATTTGAGGATCCAACTAAAAGCCGCCGAGAAACTGAACAAATGGACTGCTACTACTACTATTGCTACTATAACTACTACCACTACTACTACTACTACTACTACTACTACTACTACTACTACTACTACTACTACTACTAATACCATAACTACTACTACTACTACTACTACTACTACTACTACTACTACTACTACTACTACTACTACTATTACTATAACTATTACTTCTACTTCTACTACTACTACTACTACTACTACTACTACTACTACTACTACTACTACTACTATTACTTATACTTCTACTACTACTACTACTACTACTACTACTACTACTACTACTGCTACTACTACTACTTCTACAACAACAAGAATGGTGGAGATTTGTAATGGTTTTCTTTATCTTATCCAGGTTCAAAGATGTTCCAATTTTACCAGACAAGTCGCTTCCGACTCTTAAATTCCTTGATGCCTGCATCGATGCATTACAGGTATTAAGTAAGTATTCATTGGCTGTGATGTCCCAGTGGTAGAGGAGTGGTCTCGTAACTAGGTCCTGGGTTCGAATTCAAGCCGATGCAAATGCGTATAATGTCACGCATTAGTCCTAGTTTATCATTACCAAGTCCCTCGGTTAGGATTCAGAGTCGTTTCTTCCGTAGTTGCCAATCTAAAAGCTTTATTTAATTTCTTAGAAGTCATGTAGAGAAACGTCTTTATTATCATTCCATTCCATTTCATTCCATCATATCTGTGTCAGCTAACATGTGGGATAGGTCCATTGTACCAAAAAATGATACTACACCAAGATTTTGTATATTTAAATTTATAATGGGCTTCGGAATCGTGATAAGCCCCCTTTCCTCTCCTTGGTAAAGAGTGGCAAAAAGTAGATGAATGCCTAGCCCAATTACATTGATGTTTCATGTAGCCCACGAAGCCAGTTGCCTTTTTACTGTGAGCTTCGATATATTGGTTGTTTTCTTTTTCACTACAACAGTGAAAATTAAATTTTAGGGTCTCTTGATGTTCTCTCAAAAAAAGAAGATAGTCCTTGTATAATGTGACGTAACTACAAAGTTTTTAAAAGGATGCATGTACCCTCATTTTTTAGGGGGGGGGGGTGTATTTGCTGTCAGTAATATATGGACTTATAAGTTTATAGATAACTAGAGTGCCTTAAACGACTGTAACAGCTCTTGACAGTCGCATTGTGAATCACTTATTACTGAAATGAAAACATGGTCTCGGCGATAAGGGACCTTTATCAAACAGTTAATGGAGGAAATGTCTTTTGGTTTGTATATGTTTTATTTGGGACAGACAGGAAAGTAAGGAAATTATATTTGGTGGCATTCATAAACGTGATTAATCATTTTGTGGTAATTAAAAAAAAACCTTCTTGGAATAAAGTAAAGGCAGTTTATTTTAGATTTTTTTTAAAGAATTCCATCAAATCCGATGTGCCTGTTCTGGTGGATACAATCGTAATATGGTGACATATACAGTGAGACACAGACAGAGACAGAGAGAGAGAAAGAGACATCAACGCTCAGATTAGCAATATTCCTGATCAATGGGCCCGATCCTATCGCACGTCTAATCGTTATTTATTCATTGTTATCGTTTTAATATACCTGATAAAATAACTTAAGAGGGCGGCTGCAAGTATTTTTTTAAGGATGTGGAGGGGTGTATAGTTATTTGAATAAAATAAATGTGAAGTTCTTTAAAATCGTTATGAATTTATTGCAATGTTGTACGAGGAGCTACCTCCTACCCTACCCCCATCAACAACAACAAAAAAAAGGGGGGGGGGGTCGTAAACCCTACGCCCCTTAATATCCCACCGATGCCTAGCACACTGTAATTTGCCGAGACATTGCTCTACATTTCTGCCACTTTTTGGTAATCTATGTATATATTTTTTTTTCCAGTCAATATATTTACATGTAACAAAAAATTATGTTTGTCATTATTTTGAGGGATCCACATTTTACAAGCTCTGTTTTTGAGTGGATCTCTCCATTTCCACAGGTTTATCCACAAAAACCCATTATACTGGATATGTAGACACATATCATTGTATAATTATTCATGTATTGGCATTCAAACCACTACTCTCCCTTTAATTTGTCATACGCTTGATTTATCCAATATTTTGAAAGGTCAAGTGGTTTGGGGTCCTCGTACTGTCCAAAGGTCAAGATTATATAGATAATTATAATTTTACTCATAAGTCAACAACATAACCCGTATTATTTTTGCTTCGTACACACAAAGAGATAACAAAGTTTGATATTACTTATCGAGTGATACGATAAAGACAGGAAAATTTGATTATGTGTGATAAATTATTTTTTGTGTGTGTGTTTTAGTTGTGCTTATTTGTTTATATTCATATCTATTAGTGTGTTTGTATTGCCTTGAAATAAACATAATATCATTACAAGATTCGGTATCTTATTTAAACCTGTCTGCACTAGTTTGGCCAGGAGAGATTAGACCTCCCTGCATGGTCATTGACAGGTGATTATCTCATCAAATCAGCTCTCAATTAATATAAGAAAAAGATGATCATGGGGGGACCAACTGGTACCGCTTAGGCATTGTTTGCTATAGAGGGCGCAAGTAGCTACACGTAGTGCAGCCCCGCTTTGAAAATACTTACAGGGTGAGAGCACTGTAGTATATCCACGAAGGCTCTTGACTCTCATATGAGATGTCCCAGGTTCCTGAGGTTCGATCCTTGGCTTGGTGCTTACTTCCTTGGACAAGGTGTTTTACCTACATTTTGTCCCTCGCGACCCAGGTGTACATTCTAAAAACTGAAATGTTAATTCACCATTTAAAAGGGCCGAGGGGTGACCATCTTTCAAAATGGTGAATTAACACTTTAAAACTCGATCCAACACTTTAAAGGTTGAATCTAGCATGATAAAAGAAACAATCTGACATTTCGAAAGAGTGGTCACTCCTCGGCCCTTTTAAATTGACATTTAACATTTCAGTTTTTAGAGTGTATAAAATAATGGATACCTGGCAATGCTGAGGTAGTTATAGCTGCAAGGCCCTCAATACAGAGCATAAATACCGACGAGGCTATAATATACACTGGGTAATTAGGCCATTGTAATATATATAGATGAAAAGGGCCCCGATTTCATTACTTACACCTCAATTGATATCATTCTGGTAATTAATCGTTTGTTTGGTGATCATGAGAACAGAGAACAATGGTCATCAGGGTCATTTCGTTTGTTGAACCTTATTCCAAGTCATTTTTAAATTTAAATTAATGAAGATTTATTGCAGTTTCTGTTTTTTATTTAATTTATGGAAACTGCCCCCTACCCTAGCCCCCGCTGCGTACAGTCATGGTTCAGTGACAAAGCAATGGCCTCGTAACTGTGAGGCCCCAGGATCAAAACCGTGTCGATGTGCTATATTAGTGCCCTTTTGTGGGGCATTAATTCTCATTACTGTCATTTATGACTTAAGGGCGTAGGTCCCCTAGTTGATAAGCATAGTAGCATACACATGCTTTAGCAGTCACGCAAAACACACATTGTCAAATTATTATTCAATAAAATCTGAGAATGTAAACTATTATCTAGATCTATTATTTTTAAATTATTTTAAAAATAATTCCATAAATTGGGGTAAAACAAAAATAGTCCAACTATATGAGCTACAGTGTATCACAATCCGTCCATTCTGTTGTCTTGTTTGTTTACAGCAAATATGAGGAAAAGGATATTCGATGGGGTTGTAGGAGATATACAAGGAAATATACAGGTAACTATCATCTACTTGAACTTAAATGGGGTAAAATTACAGTTCTTTTGCTTTGTATATGTGCTACTAGTTCCAATAACTATCTCTGTTAAATTTGGATCTTCTTGGCTATTATTGGCGTCAGTCTTACGATATATAATCCAACGCTAATTCCCTCCGCACTCGATATCCTACATACACAAACCAAAGTCTTAACTTCAACACTGGACCAAACACTGGACCAAACACCCTAACCTTTATACTCTAATTCTAAACCTAAACACCGATTTTATCCCTAACCCTTGCCTTGCCCCACATCTATGACGAAATGAATCCCGGGAGCGTTATTTTTTTCGGCGGCACAGATCGGGGTTAGGTGTGTGTTGAGCCTATGGGAAAGTTTAGGGTTAGGGTTAGGGTTAGGGTTAGGGTTAGGGTTAAATCAAGACCTCTTAAAAAAAAAAAGCCCCGATCTGTGCCGCAGAAGAAAAAAAAAAGCATCCCGGGACATTTATCGCCGGAGCACCATTTCCTTCTTCCCTTCATGTCTCTCGTTTCAATCCTTGCAAAAGTCCGACGACAACAATAATCTAAAATATATTTAATCGTATTTTGCCCTTGAGGCAGACATAACAAAAGACGTCTATTTGCTTTCTGTCACATGTGCTATGATTACCTGTGTCACTGTTGTCTCAAAGTTTGTCTCTCTCCTCTACATAACATAAATCTCTGTTTGCCTCCTAATCTGTATGCGTATTTATAGATTTGATGCAAAATAATCACAAGATATTTCTTACAAACAAAATAGGAGATCAGTTTAAAAAAAGAGGATCCATTCTTTTAATATCTGTAATGAATTTATACTTTCGTTTGACTATTGCAGCAAATTCGTCATAACTACGACGCTCGTCCAAACGAAAGCTATACTCTTCAGTCTTTGGTTCTGTATGATGTAGAGCAGTTACGTATACTAAACGAAGACCCGGATTATTATGCAGCATCCACACTTAATGCCCTAAAATGGGTCGTCAGGTATAATTTGATCTTCTAGATAATTTAGTCGTTGTTTGTTGATTGATTTATCAGGCAAAATTATACAATATTATAAGGAAAATTTGAATCTGTTTAGCTTACCCAATGCACAACATGTGAATGATTTTTATATTTTTGGGCGAAACCCGTTTTTCACTAACAGTTTTGTGTAGTTGCATGAGTACAGGGGGAATAGGGTCACCGTCATTCCAATAAAATGCCAAAGCCCCCCCCCCCCTCCACTCAAGCAACAACAAAAAATAGAGAAAGGGGCAGAGGGAGGAAATGAAAACGAGATTTATTTCCCCCCCCCCCCCCGTTTTCCAAAATCTGGTGAATGACCTTGTTAAAATACGTTTCGTCCACCTATATAGTATACTGATGCCCCCCCCCCCCCTCCTCGCTCCATGATGCCGGTGCCTTCTCTATATCTTCGCCCTTGCTATGCCACTTGATGAGTGGTATTATCCGTTATTATTAACGGAACTTGCATTTTTTTCATTTTAATGTGCCTTTAACTTTTAATTCACTCCCAACGTTTTGTTGGATGACCAACATTCATCTTTGTCACTCTAACCGATTTGTGTCATGGTATAATCTGAATATGGAACACCAGTGTGATTATTATCATGAACCATGAACATAATAGACTCATTTTGCTAGTTTTATTCTCTTTTTCTACAGAGCATTCCGGTTTATATCCAGGTTTGCGACACATATAAGTGAGGGCCAAGAGCAAGGTCCGAGCGCAAGTGAGTTGCTTTGTGATCTTCAGAAAACAATGGAACATTATATCATTTATAATTTTATATTTCGTTGTTAAGTAATGCCTATAGGTCACATTTGCCGCGGCGACCGTGCGGTCTAAAATATCTACGGCCAATAGCAATTACCTACGGTATAGCGGTCTTTATGTCTTTAGGTAGCCGCACGGACTATTTTGAATTTGTGGAGACAGAAAATCTGCGGCTGCCGTACGGACTTTTAAGTGATGACGCACGGTCGCCTTAGGGCGTCCCTGCGGCGGCCGTAGGTTTTTGACAAATACCAAGGCAGACGCAATGTAGCCGCAAGGTGCCCGCAAGGCGGCCGAAGGGGGACCATTCGGCGACCGTGCGGCTAGACTGATGCTACCGCTTCACACCTGGGGGTGTTTCACAAAGATCCTAAGTTGAACTTATCTCTAAGTTGGACTTAAAATTTATGGGAAGCCATTAGCATCCTTGAAAATATTTTGTAATTTTTTTTAGAAGGCATAAAATGTTGATTCAAATCATTCATATTTTCTATTATCATGGGAGATTTCATGTTCTTGATGTGGAATTGATGAAAAGTCTAAAATACTCCCAATTTTTGCTTTTGAATATATTTCATTTTAAGGCTCCAATGGCTGTCCATACTTTTTAAGTCCAACTGAGTGTTAAGTTCTACTTAGGATCTTTGTGAAACACTCCCCAGGAGTATATAAAACGCAAGGCCAACGTACGTCCGACGTATACAGTCGTCGTGGAATCGCTCTACGGCATGGCTACGGCGTGTCTCATCGCTACGCCGAACCTAGAAATAAAAACAGTTATAACTCCGCGTTATAATCCCACAGCGACCCGTACGGCCTGTAAAGATAGGGATACGCCCTAGGGTGACACTGAGGCCACCGCCGCAAGTATCTCTCGATTTCCGAGGCGTACGGCCGCCGTATCCAAGCCGTAGAGAAAATGTGACCCAGGCATAAGTCTATATTAGAGAAAAAAAGCCGCAACAATATATAATTATATTTTGTTTCAGGGAGTATACTATATATTTAAGTATTGTCATGCTACAATAATTTTTTATTCATCGTTTCTACTCAGGTATTTTAAACGAGGGGGCACTTGCGCTCCCCCAGTGGCCAAATTCAATCCGGAACGGGTAAACAACGGGAATGGAAATAATGTGCCCTCCCACCCCCATGTGATGACCCTCTTACTTTTTGACTTTCATATTTTATTTTGGATTTGTGCCCCCTCCCCGAGAATCCTGGATCTTCCACAGAAGTAGCTAAGTTGCCATGACAATCGTTGTTTCACATAACTCCATCCCCAAATGGTTATTCTCGTGTTTCTTTATCGGACATATTGTGTGCAGGTAACAACAGAGTTGCTTAAACAATTATTAGAGATAGTGTGTACCTATGGAAACACTATGGTAAAGATAATTATTCTCTAACGGCTTAATAATTCCATGAATTTCTTTCTTTTTCGTACACCTCATGTACAGGACTGGCCTATGATGAGACTTTGACAAAGCACCATGGGTTTGTCGTCAGAGCATGTTTTAAGGTAAGACATCATACTATAACTATACATGTATATTATAAGTGATAGAGTAGCCGGTCTCGTTACCGATGGTCCTATAGATTCGAAACGCGCTATTGCAGTTTGGAAAGGCAGTAAGCCTTTTTCAGATATGCCGCGGCTAACTGCAGCAGGTTCGCGGTCAACTGCAGCAGGTTTTATTTTTAAGATATGACTTACGGTGTCATAGGCATGACATTTCTCTATCTTATAACACAGTTTACAGCTCAGTGAACAAACTCTGCACCTTTGTCGGGCGCAGTTGCAATTTATAAAGGCGTGAACAAACAACAACAACAACAACTTGGCGGCTTTTTTGTTGCGGTAAACCGCGTCTTAAACGCGTCATATCTGAATGAGCATATACAGTGCGTCCCAGAAAAAAACGAAACCGAGAATTATCGATGCTTTATCATAACTTAATCACGATTATAATTGATAAATGACACATGATTTGTAAAGCTTAGATCCTCCTCTTTCATTTGATGCAATTTATATGATGCATAATTTATTTGCATAATTCCTGGCTCATTTTTCCTGATTGAGGTGTCATATGAAAGGGCAGATGTTGAACTTTTTAGAAATGTGATTTTCTCTAAATTCAGATACCGCCCGCCAAATGACTTTTTGGTTTCCTCGCTTCAATTTTATTTTAATCACTTATGCGTGAAATATGCATCATATGAGTTGCATCAAACGAAAGAGGAGGATCTAAGCTTTACAGATATGTGTCATCTATTAATTATAATTGCGATTAAGTTATGATAAAACATCGATAATTCTCGGTTTCGTTTTATCTGGGATGCACTGTATAACCCCCAATTTCTCAAGTCTGTAGGTTCCCCTGGTTGCTTTCTGACAAGTATCTACATGTATTTGCTTTATTACCTGTATCTGTCCGGTTAATTAAAAATAAATCATCATTATCTGACGAGAAGGTCCCGGCTAATAAAGATTAAGACAAAGGTCGTAATAATGATAAGCATACCTGAGCTGGGTTCGGGATATTAGTTATTGTTAGTGTTTGAGTTGCAAATTGCGGGTGGATGGGGAGGGGAGGGGGGGGGGGGGGTGGAGGAGGAGTTCACTGGCATGCAAGCTGTTTTCCATGCACGACAAGGCGCGACAAGGCATCTCACTTTCCCCTATTACTTGTTGCATATGATGCGCTATTTCGATAGCGTAATTACTTACGCTAATCAATTATGTGAAGGTAACTAGTGCATGCGCCATTACAGAAATGTTACGCTTGCACTGTTACATTCACTTTATGTACGATATCGCTCCCTGTCATTGGAGCATGGAAAAACGCGCCAGTTCTAGACGCAGTCACTAATGACGTCTCATGTGCAACTACATGCAGTGTAAAATGCGTAATATTATAATGTATAAGCGGATGAATAGTGCACATCTTTTTGACGTGGATATCGAGAACAGGTTGAAATATGACTCCAGAGCCTGTTGTTCGTGAGGTGTCATTCGCCTGACGTAGCATTGCGTCAGTGACTCACGGGGTCTCTGACGCGCCAAGAGAGAGTAACATCGTATAATGAGTGATTGCAAAACGAATATTGGAAACAAGAATAATTATGATAGCTGACGTAAGGCTAAAGGCATTTACAGACGTGATTAGCGCAGATAATATTAACGCAATCGAAATGACGCAACGTGTACAATGGGAATAAAGGGAAAATATAATTTCTACTTTGTTTTTTTCCTGCAGGCTGCCTTCCTGACGCTGTCGACGCGGCAGGACTTTCTAAAAGAAATTGCTGTGAACAAGGCTGACCTCGATCGACCCGACTTTGAAAAGACAGCAATAGCCGACTCCCGGGATTATTTCTTCGCCTTGGAGGAGAGATTAAAACTCATTGAAGAATTCTATACACGACATCATATAGAACCTTAGATTTGGATGATTGACAGTGGTTCTTATTTTTCCCTCTAGAATTGCAGTCACAAAGTAATTCTCTTGGATAATATCCTTACAAGCAATATAAAATACGTTGTCATAATATGAATACGCCTACATTATTTGTTATTAACAAAAAAGGTGCATGTTTCATTGCCTAAATGACTGTTACAAAAAAGTGTTCATTACGAAACGTGTGCAATATCGCGAAAGTATTTAAAATTTCTGCAATTTTTTTATACAGCTTTCTCTGTTTTATTAATAGGGGTTACGGTGATGACTTGTTTAAATCCATTGACGTACAAACAGGAACCACTGTCTGTGTCTAGATAAAGCTTCTTTTATACTATGTTTTGAACATGCCTTTTTGGGGCGTAGTTCCAGGGAGCACGAGGCCCAAATCGAATTGCTCAAACGGAAGAAGAAGAAGAAGAAGAAGAAGAAGAAGAAGAAGAAGAAGAAGAAGAAGAAGAAGAAGAAGAAGAAGAAGAAGAAGAAGAAGAAGAAGAAGAAGAAGAAGAAGAAGAAGAAGAAGAAGAAGAAGAAGAAGAAGAAGAAGAAGAAGAAGAAGAAGAAGAAGAAGAAGAGGAGAGGAAGAAGAAGAGAAGAAGAAGAAGAAGAAGAGGAGAGGAAGAAGAAGGAGAAGAAGAAGAAGAAGAAGAAGAAGAAGAAGAAGAAGAAGAAGAAGAAGAAGAAGAAGAAGAGGAGAGGAAGAAGAAGAAGAAGAAGAAGAAGAAGAAGAAGAAGAAGAAGAAGAGAGAAGAAGAAGAAGAAGAAAAGAAGAAGAAGAAGAAGAAGAAGAAAAAGAAAAAGAAGAAGAAGAAAGAAGAAGAAGAAGAAGAAGAAGAAGAAGAAGAAGAAGAAGAAGAAGAAGAAGAGGAGAGGAAGAAGAAGAGAAGAAGAAGAAGAAGAAGAGGAGAGGAAGAAGAAGGAGAAGAAGAAGAAGAAGAAGAAGAAGAAGAAGAAGAAGAAGAAGAGGAGAGGAAGAAGAAGAAGAAGAAGAAGAAGAAGAAGAAGAAGAAGAAGAAGAAGAAGAAGAAGAAGAAGAAGAAGAAGAAGAAAAGAAGAAGAAGAAGAAGAAAGAAGAAGAAAAAGAAGAAGAAGAAAGAAGAAGAAGAAGAAGAAGAAGAAGAAGAAGAAGAAGAAGAAGAAGAAGAAGAAGAAGAAGAAGAAGTTTACGATGAATAGCTGAATATACTCCTAAATTATCTTATGCTCTATCTTTATACACATTCATAAAATAAAAAAAAAACCGGTTACGTAACAATCGGAGGGGTAATATTTACACTGTGTCCCCGAAACTTATTTGGTTCTTACATTTTTTAAAAATTGATTCTTGTTTTACACCGATGCCTACTTGGAATTAGCTAGTAAAGAGCTATTCGATATACATATTTATGTATACTAAAGATAGATAAATAGATAGAAAGATAAGTAGGAAGGAAGAGATATTCACTTTTGTGTAGATCGTCAATCTCGAATTGTCGAGGTCTACGTTAGCGTGTATAATTAAAGAGTACATGTAGGAAGTATGGTAGAGATCCATATCAAAAATAGAATCATATATTTAGTCACATTTTTTGAATATTTCGATTTCATGTAGCAATGATATAAATTGTCATTTCATAGAGCCCAATACACTTGCCATATTTATATATCTCAGAATATAATGTGATTGTGATCAGTTTTCATGAAACTCATTTTGATAGAATCATTTTGTGATTTAAAGGAATAAATTGATTTATGTGATGGGAAATTATACCATGTGTTCTGAAATATCAAGAAGAAGAAGAAGAAGAAGAAGTGTTTTCTTCCAAACATTTTTATATATCTGAGCAATGATCAATAAAATATGAGGAAATCGGGTTGATTGTTTGTTATGTATAATCATTTCTGTGTTTTGCTTTTAAGTGTATTTTCAGTAAGTTTTTTTTATCATCTAGCTAAGTTATGAAGGAAGAGAAAGGGATGGAGAGAGGGAGAGTAGGAGAGAGGGAGAGTAGGACGCAGAGAAACACTCTGGTTATGAACATTAAAAGCAGAACGAAGTTTTCAATTTTAGAGAGTTGTCAACTGTGAATCCGTGCCAAGTTCATGTATGTGGGATGAAACACTTCAACATCAACAGGGGGTCTTCTTTTCTACCAGAGCAGGGGTAGAGTCATTTCAAGGGGAGGGGAGGCAGGTATTAGTTGGATGTTTGAGATTGGGGCTTGTTAACAATAACATTAGACAGGGTTACATGAAAGCTATTGCAAGCTAGGGAATGAAATCTTAGACTTCAGACTTTCTTTCTCTTACTTTATGAAAACACATGAGGGAACTAAGTGGATTTACACATACTAATAAAATCAACTTTAAAAGAAAATGCAATACTAGCAACAAGAGTAATTTCACAACTCCACACAGAAAATGCAACACACGAGAAACGTCACACAACATGCGAGGCAAGGGACACGAGAAGTAACTTAAGAATTTTTTAAGTGTATTTTTTGTTGTCTGCTTTATCTCCCAAGCATTTCACAAACCCCAAATGCACATCCTTTGTTATACATACAAATAAACAGCAGAACAATAATACAAAACTCTACATTTCATCTCTTCATCTCTGTGTACGCAGCACGAAATGAAAGAACATTATAACAGAAAATAAAGGCAACATATCCCGCTATGATTTTGGCATTAAATGATTCACGAACAAAAATAAAAAAGATGCAGATGTTGTCACTAGATACTAGCTGATCACATTATACATGTTTCGCATTACATAAATAAACAATTACATATTTACTTTAAATTTATAATCTTTCATGTCTACATTTATGCATGCATCTTTTCTTTCCGATGATAGCTCACCTCCAGTTAGAAGAAAGTACAACCAGTTTCTCAACTTTATTTACCAATTTTACATCTATTTTTCTCGATATAAATGAACAATTCTAACCCTAGAGCGAACATTTGGATGTAACTTTTTGAATAATATAAAATTTTGCTTCTACTATACTCAACTTTACAAACATGTGGAAGATAAAGATATATGATCATATATAATAATTCTTGTCTGTCTTTACATGTAATTGCAAGATATTTATAAACACACAATGCTAGAGTACATGACAAATTCATACAAAATATTCACAGAAAATTTACAGGGAGCACTAGACATATATTGGTGGTTACAGCTATACAAATTGCGAACTTCAAATGAACTACTTTGGGCAGTAGCGACAATGACAATCTGCAGAACAAAAAAAAGATAAACACAAGATGTCTTATTTATAGAGTGCATTCAAGCAATCGCTACAGATCATTACCAAACAGTACATGCACATAAATGACTATTTCAAATAGTGTATTTTACCTCCAATATTAAAAGTTCAATGAAAAAGGGCTGTACCAAAAATAGGTGCAAATCTACATGTATACATTTGACTTACCACTTGACTCAGTGATATGATGCATTATTTTCATTTACACTGCCAGAATTTAGTCTAAGGATAAAGCACTAAAGGATACAAACTACAAAACAACTCAAAGCATGTGCATTTATTGTTCCAAGCATCCAACCTAATGCATACATTGATTGATCGTAAGCACAAGTTTGCACAAAATTACCTTCACTATTAGAGATCTTAACTATCAAAATCTTGTTCTTCTGAAACTTAATCAATTTCTCTGATTCGTTTCTCCTTGTGTGTATGTGAACTTGTCATAAAGGATGTTCCATCCAAAGGAAATCCTGTCTGTATTAAAGTATGGCAACAGGCCTGCAAACTCTTTACTTTTTAAACACTGGAAAATGTTGGCAATGTATCAAGAAAGGTAAATTACATCTATCAATTATTGAAACAGAAATTACATCCTTCAAGATTTCCTCTATACACATATACATATGCAGGAGCTATATTCTGCAATTGCATACATGATTACATTAATACTTTCTAAGTTAAATAGATAATACCCATATGTGATTTTAATCATTAAACAATTCGGCCCAATGGAAAAGGCAAGTATTACCCCTTTTTGTCACACTCGGTTTACTGAAAATTTTCATAAATTTTCATAAATGGACTTCACTATTTTAAAAACCAAATCAGGCACATAATAGACTTTAAAGTATGTGCACCCATTTCTCTTTCACAAAAATATCACTGCTTTTAATAAAACATTCCAATTCTAGGATGGGCTTTGTCACTCACAACATGAAAGGGGCACCAAGAGTTTATCTTGTTTAAATTTTTCGAAATACTTCACAGTTTAATATTATTTACAGTCCGCTGTATTCTAGGGCTTTTTAAAAATTTACAATTAAACACAATCAAGCTGCAACAACACAAATACTCACTGCGCAACAAATCAAGGCACATTTCATTAAAGCAAAATAGATCAAGAATAAATCATAAAAATAAAACGAGATGCTTTTTATAGAATGGTGACACAATCACATTAGAAGAACGCTAGGCTCTGTTCATACCACTCAGACTAAATGGTTTCCATATGTACAATGAACACTGGACCGCTTTATAGTGTGAACAAACCCTCTTCTGTATGTTGTTAAAGATACATACAGCTTGACCACAATTTAAAACGAAGTCTAAGCAATGTGAACATGCCGTGAGACATACAGATTTTCACACGACACCTGGTATAATATAATCATCTCTTTCAATCTTACAAGCTACAATTGCACAAGAAACTACCGCACCACATTGTATTCTCTTTAGACACTTAAACTGCTTTTCGAAGGTACATCTACCGACTTAGCCTTAATAGCAATATATATATAGATATACATGTACATATACCATATGGTTATAGAAGTGTGTACAAAAAACATATACCATCCAATAATCATAGCGTAAATTATGTTTTTTACAAAAAAATTATCATGTGATTGTAAAATTATACAAAAATATCAGATTCAATGGCAACCAAGTCCAATAAGTCATATTTCAAAACTCATCTTTGATTTTGTACAGTATCTGAAGATTAGAGAAAAAAGATCAGTTACTAATGATCGAACATGTCCCTTTTCTGTATCTCAACTTCAAGGAAGAGATGTTTAAATATGATAAGATACATGTAGACAAACTTTTTCTACCGAGATCCATTTGAAACGCCTATACAATTTACATGGAATAAATCCACTTCACTTACATTCTATACAGAAATCTTCCTGTATCCAAGAAACTTAGAACAGTAAAAGAAGACTCAATATGAAATTTGTTTCAAGTGATTGTCACACGATATAATAAAATAAATGATTATCAATAAAGTTCATGAGAGGAAAAAGAAAACTTCTTCCCAAAGTGAATCCTTCTCTGTGTGTCTGTACACATACCTACAGGTGCATTTACTCACTATTTGCATGTACATTACTTGGAATAATTAACAAATAAACCAAAATGGAGCATGGGTATTAATGTACCCTGGAAAAAAAATCCTCTCAATACTTCTTTGTTTTCATAAGTGAATACGCCACCTACAATAGAAAAAGAGCAATATGGAAGAATATCTACTGGCAAAAAAGAGACATTTGACTCCATTAATTGGCTTTGTGGTGCCTTTGCGTTTCTTGCTATAACAAAACGGGATGAGGTGCACGATATCAATTTGGCTGTGAGGCTAAAACCAAACAATCGATGTGTTCCTCCCCTACTAATTTTGTTGCAGCAAGACACTGCAACACAGGCTTTGTCTTCTTTCATGAAGTTGTATACCATTTATCCATGCTCCTGTAACATGTCGCAGGCAACACAGCCATGCGGCCTCAACACGCTACAACTTCCACGGAGAATGGGGGCGCAACTTGTGGGCACAGAACACGGTCCAGCCGCATATGGTCACTAAACCAATAAGGTTGAAGGTTCAAACCTCTACTAGAGTTTTTACATCAGAGGCTTTGACGCTGACATTATAACTAATTCCTCTCTGTTTCACTTTGATTTATAAACACATGAGAGGATGCCTTTTGAAGCGTCCCTTCTTCTCTGTCAGATAACAACTAGAAGGTATTAAGAAATGTATTAATTAGACCTTGATCTACTGTGGAGTTTAGGCATTGATGGGAGCATCCAAAAGACATCTGCACTCACATTTATACCATTTATCCATGCTCCTGTAACATTATAAACAAGTAGTGCTATTTAAGCATCTTTGAGAATGACTGAAAGATAGTATTGATGCATGATATCATGAAATTTAATAGATTTATATCTGCCTCTAAACTTGATACAATTCACTTTTAGTTACACTTCTTACACTAACTTTTGGAAAAGGAGCCATTCTAAAAGTCAAGATGTTACGATAAAAAGTAGTTCCTATTGAGTAAGGAGTCATTTGCCATGGCTTAAGAATTATCAGAGCTTACAAGAAGTTTCTAAAAATTCATTACACAATCATCTCTATCATAAACAGATCTCCAAGGGAGCTTAACCCAATGAATACTAGGCCTAAGATAACTCTGGCTGGCGTCTATTGAATATGAATGTTACACCAAAACTAAAATTGTAGTCAATGGTTTAAGATAGTAAGATCATCAAAGGCATCCTCTGCGCAGAGATCTAAATAGATATCAAGTGAAATCTACCTATCAAGGGTACCTCTTCTATCGTCACATTCAAAAGACCGTGTGTGAAAGGACCTTCCCCCAGCAGATCAGCCTTACTACCTGTGCCTGTGCCACACAAGACAGTGTGCCCACCACTCTCCTTTGTTGCTACCACACGAGGCAGGCAACGCAGGATGTGTTGCCTCTACATGTTGTAGGCCACATAGATGGGGTCTAGCTGGTCGGCGAGGAAGCCGTCCCTAAGGTGCATGCGTTGCTTCTCTCCCCTGGAGTTGATGGGGATGACGGCAGGGTCTACCATCACGACCACGCCCACGATGAGGTAATGCTCCTCCAGGACGGCGTTGGTGACCAGGGGCACGAGGTCAAGGGCCTCGGACTCCTTGCCATCGAGTTCGACGACAACCACCAGCAAGTTGGTCCAGGTGAAGACAGCACTGAAGAGAGATAAAAAGTTATTTATAGAGCTTTGATTTTCATTGATTCCTCTTTATCAAGTTCCACAAAATCACAGCTCCATATCATCAAAGAACTCTTTACAAATCCCAGGAATATTTTCTCTCTACAACATGTGTAGCACAAATTGTTTTCATGTTTAAAGCTGGCATTATCACTATGCAAACCTTTAAACATATCAATATTTTTTAATGGCTTTTACTTTACCCAAGTCCTCATCAATCTACCACTCTATACCCTTCTTCTCTTCTCATTTATTCACATCATTTTAGTGGCATAATAGTGAAGTGTTCTCGATGGATTGTACAACATATTGACACAAGTACAGAGTCCTGAATGTTACCTGGGCAATGTACACATCCTCCCCATTATGCCATCATTTTGTCGCCCTATGTTACCTCCTGTCTCTATTCCATGAGTCCTTCTTATGAAGTATCCTCTTACCATCTATCCATTCTTCCTTCATCAATCTTTATAAATATATGTCCTTTTGTTCTTACCATTCACACACATTCTTGTGGCATCTTAGTACGGTGTTCTCAATGTCTATGGGATGGTATCTCATTCCTCTCATCATCAACGTCTCATCAAGAGAGCCAACAACAAACAGAGCATCATGACGATCTGAAGAAAACAAAATATAAGATTCCAAGGGTTAATATGTTTCAATACACCACTTTGAGGAAAGAACTTAGGCCCTATATCATTGGTACAGGCAATCTGTTGGTAAAATATCTACCATTTTTGTGAATTCATTATGCACATCAGACCTAATTTTCAATCCAGTCCAATCTACAAATCTTAATTTGTAGAGCTCTAGTATCTACATGAAATTATCTAATCAATTTCACTAGAAATTCATAATGTATTAGGGAAAGACTAGAATAGTGGCTATTTGTGAGCAGTTTCGTATTATGTAAAGGAGAGTTTTGGATGTAGACATGACAGCATATCACACAAGCGAAGGAGCAGAGAAAGACTGTTCTTTAATATAGGTACAGAAGAAGAAAATCCTTATTGCATTTCAGAACACCTTTTTAATATTATTAAAGAGTATGACAAATTCAACAAACATTGACGAAATAAACAAATTACTCACAATGAGAGATCATGGAAGTTAGGAGACTTGAAGATATATTAAAGGCCGTCTGTACTAGTTTGGCCAGGGGGGACTAGACCACACAGGGTGGTCACTGACAGGTGGCTATCTCATCAACTCAGCTCCCAATTAACATAAGAAAAAGAGGATCATGGGGACCAATGATCACCGATTAGGCATTGTTTCTATAAAGAGGGAGCAAGTAGCTACAAATAATACAGTGTGGCTTTAACAATGAAAACATTTCCTTGAAAGGTTGACAGACATACAACCCACCTCCATCAGCCTGTGTGAGATCCGTTCTCTTGAGGAAGCCAAGATAACCAGTCCTAGCGAACGTTCCGCGGGTCTCACCCGTCCTCAGCTGAGCACTGAAGTGATCGTTGTGAAGCGACTCATCCCCATAGATGGTGAAGTAGCCGCACGAGTTGTGGGGTGATGAGACCCAGATCTAAGTGATAAAATTATAATAAGTACATGTACAGTCAAACCTGTTTTTAGTGACCACCTGTCTACAAAGATCATATTTGTTTTTGTTTCCCTTGCAAATGGTTTCTCATTGACACATGTACAAAAGAAATCAGTACATAAGGACCGATTGCCTATAAAGACCACTTTTCTTGTCTCCCTTGGGTGGTCTTTATAGACAGGTTTCATTTTATATCAAAGATCATGGAATCATTTGTGCACTTTAGTAGTCTGGATATCCGGTTCTGCCTAACTTTAGTGGATGGGCAGGGTAAGAACTGGAAGTTATCTACACTGAATTGCAAAAGCCTTGGTAAAAATTATTACCAGTCACTGAATGCTGGCTACTTGTTCTGAAGGCATCATCTACCAAATAGAATATAAACTGGCAGAAATTTAACTGAACATTGAATATCATGCCAATGAAGATACATGTGGCAGAAGTGGGGCGTGGGGATGGTTAGTGGATAGGTGACATATTGCAGTTTGCATATAGGTGACATGAATAACAGTGATGTATTTGATCTTGAGAGTAAAGCTACAGCATTCTATTCATGTCAATTTACTCTACACATTACCTCCAGCTATAGCCGAGCAATACCACGATCAACTTCTTGTTTCATAAGTAGAACACAGTGACTACTAAATTCTCAAATTCCCCTAGGCATGATAATAATACACTAAAATTAATCTATTGACAACTTAATTCCCCTGTTCCTCTTGGCAAGACAAAGAGGCTTTTTGGCCAAATAGGCAATGGCTTTTAAAGGCTCTGGATACCCTTACCTCTCCAAGATGGGAGTCTGCACACTGGCCCATGGTCTCAGGGTGAGCTATTACAATCTTCACCCCAGGCAAGATCTAGTAACAAAACAAAAATCAGATAGAAAACATTAAAGCTCAACTTAAAGACAGGGAGGAATATATATAAAATATAATAATCATAATCATCATCATAATAATGATAATAAACATAATCATAATCATCAACATGTTCAACACCATCATAATCATCTGCTAATTGCTTTCCTTTAACCACATAGTAAATGCCCCCTGGCTCTCTGACAGGCTAAATGTCTAGTTAAAAGTAGTTTTCTGATGATGATTTTATATTCTTTAACACTGCATATCTTACCTTTCCAGACTCCATGACACAGAGACTGTGAGGGCTCCCTTTCTCTACGATGGTCACCCTGTCATTCCTCAGAGCTCTCGTGTCAACATAGACGGTGGTGGGGTCTGGACTGGATGCCCCCTGATACAAAGACAATTACAAAAACAATAAACATTAGCATAACCACGTACAAATACAGTCAAACCTGTCAAACCAATGATTCTTGGTTTATAAATGCATGTGTATGCTGGATAACATATCAACAAGGCCTGCTCACATGAACACATTTCCTTGTTTAAACTTTAGATGGAGGGATATCTATCAAAACCATACATTTTTTGTGACCCAACAGATTTAGGATTTAGGGTTAGGTAGATTAATTCATGAATCAATTTAGGGTTGGAAATTGCCCATAGATTAATTGGATTATTCCTTGAAATGTTCTGTGCGTCGATAACGGCTCCTGGAGCTAGGGTGATAATTTCCAAAGTTCTTTGGAAGCAGATAGAGATATTATTTCATAATGTATTTTGCGCTATACAAGAACTGAATATCATTATTATTATTAATTGTCACCTAAGCTCATTCCATAGAATCATTTTACGAAGTGCAAAAGGCCGTGTTGTTGAGCATACCTGTAATGCGATGGCCATGTTGACCCTGCAGCCAAAGGATGTACTGACTGCTCTAGGTGAGAGACCAAGACTGGAGAAGAGCTTGGAGAAGGAGTTTGTGAGAGCTACTCTTGGTCTCTCCTCTGCCACCACCACGCAGTACCGCACAGCTGACAGTAATATCCCTCGTGTCTGGAAATTAGATCATCATTATATGTCATTATTTATTTGGCAAAGAAAAACATTAAAGATTACCGATAAAAGAAACGGTTGTATAAAATCCGATGTTACAACCAATGGAATGCCAGGGAATGATTGAGAAAATTGAATGAAAAGTGTTATATTTAGTCTCCAAATGTTCTGCTTGTGTAAAGAAACAAATGTGGATGTTCCATCCATTACTTCTCAAGAAATTTAAGTCTAAGTATCTGAAAGGAAATTCCAAATCAAGGTCCTATGCCAAGATTCTTCTACGCCAGCAGATCGCGTTATCTCAAGAACCGACCGATGGATTCCTACCATCTGCATGTTGAAATAACTGGATTATTTTTTCAAAATGATTTAAATCCAGTATACCCACTGACTGCTACATTTTCTCATTCCCCCTCAGCTCAACACAGAAAACACCTTGCCCCAGTATGCAATGTGTTTGACGGAATTCCATTACCAGAGCTCCACATTAGTTTTGATAATAGAAAATACTTCCTACGGATGAAATGATTCATGAAAGTAACTTTTGGGGCGTGTATTTACCTTGAGTGTGGAGACACTCTGGCCGAGTCCCTTAGTACAGATCTCCATTACTGAGTAGGAGCAGAAGGTATCACGAACTGTAGGATGGAAGATAGAAAAAACATACATAAGAAGAGAAATATAAACAAAGCAAAACAGGTGTATGTTGTAAGCTAGACTTTCACATATGGAAATTACACCAAGTACAATTTAAAGGCATCGTTTAACAATGTTAAATTTGAGATGCATGGCCCTATGTGTTATCAGTGTCTGTTATGGTGTAATATTGAAGCCCTAAAACAAATTGTGCTTCAAAATGATTATGAAGTGCCTCAAAAAAGTAAATATCTTTGAGTGACCGGTTTTACGATACTCGTTTTCCCCAATAGACTGTAGTGTTATGAAAACCTTTTGGCAAACACAAAATTTGATTTCGATTTTCAATCATAAATATCTTGATAATCAGACAGGCGATCGGCTTGTAAAAGTCATGGGGTTCCTGACTGACCTAAGGGTTTATAACTATCATTGCAGTATGAGCTAAATCATGGATTTTTTTAAAGGATCTAAGACAAAGATACCCAATCCCTTTAATGGAAATTGCACCAAGTCGCTTTAAGCCAACTGTTACATACACATATTGCATTAAAAAACTCACAAAAGGCCACCTGTAAGTTCTTACCTTTGTGTTGGCTGAGAGCGGTCAACCAGAGGGCTGGATTGGTCTCGATTTCAGTTGGAGGAATCAGGATCGACTGATGGCCGGAGTACACACTGATCAGGAAAACAAATGATATTTGCGAGAATGTTGTAAATACAAATTTAAGTTAAAAATACAAAAATCATTATTGCAAGATTCATTTTAAGAGAAGGTTGAGTTCTGGGAAAGAGTGAAAAATAATTTGTGAGCATTATCATTGTATTATGCAAGTGTGGACAATTTCCTATCATTTTAATGATTCAAGAACCTTGCAGTACACGCCAATACTTGTATCCTAGATGATCAACCTTTTCTGATCGATTCCTCAACGTTTCTTTCACAATGCAATCATATGACCAGAACTCAACTTTATCTTTAAAATGGTATACAAGCAAAAAATGTTAAAAGGCGAGGCCTAGTTTCCCACTGTATCAAGTTGATATATTGGAGGCAAGCACCCCTGGTAAATGGGAGTTTTCAGAGGTTTTTTTTTTTCCTTCCAACCCAGGTGTTAAATGGGTACCAGTAGGAAGGAATTCCTTGAATGCTGTGAGCACTGAAATCAGCAGCCTAGCAGAGCTGGATAATATTTAGAGTGTCTTGAGCACCTTGCATGGTGGATATGTACGCTATATAAATATCTGAAATTATTATTATTATTACCTGCTTAGTACCCAGAGGACAAAACCTAGCCCACAGTAGGGATCTAGACACAGACACACAACCCTGGAGGGGTAGAGTTCACAGGCAAGCTTCTGGGCTCGGCACACCGCACTCGCTGCTGCATGAGACATCTAAAAAATGAAAAATAAGAATTTTTTAATTACACGCATCCCTCACCATAATGTAGGTACAGTCAAATCCGTCTATAGCCACCGCGCAAGGGAAACACAAAATTTGGTCTTTGTAGACAGGTTTCTTCAGTAAATGTTTCAATGAAAACCATTTTCAAGGGAAACAAAAAATGTGGTCATTGAAGAAAGTTGGTCTTTGTAGACAGGTGGTCACTAAAGCAGGTTTGACTGTATTAACATTAAACTCCTACCTACAATAATGTGTATCTCAAAAGCTGTCTGTACAACGCAAGATCTGGCAACATTGCTCATTCCATTGCATGTTTTTTTCTTAACAACCCTAACCCTAACCCAATACTTGATTTCTCAAGCTGTCAACAACCCACAATGTGGTATCTTCCATCTGATTCTACAGTCAAAGTACAATTATAAGCAATGGATAAAGAAAGAATTTGAACTTCTTCCAAAGACTTCTTTTTCGATGCTTGAAATTCATAATAAAGGCAAAATCATCAATGCGAATACTCTTTTTAAATCCAAAGATGTTACAGTGATGTAACCAGGAAACATAGCAATTCTTTACAAGTCGCAAGTAAGCATTGACATATTCATAACCTTTTCAGTACCCTGGTACACGTACAATGCAGGATAGAATAGAATACTTCCTTAACTGGGCGTTCCAATATTTGGTATTAGCAGCAGGGCGAGAACCCTGGGGGGCGTTTCACAAAACTTGTCATCAGTGACAAATAACAGTTTTTGTTATAAGCTACTGAAATCCTTGCTTCTGATTGGTTATCAGCAGATTTGTCACTGATTTTGTCATTGACAAAAGGCTTTGTGAAACGGGTCCCTGGACGTTGTCACCCTTACCTTGACCCCAGCAAGCATGCCTGTCGTTGAGACACTGAAGTCTAGGAAGCACAGCATCTCAGGGGTGGGGGCTTTGTAGATATTGGACAGTTTCTTCTTGGGAAGGTCATCAGTGTCTAGGAGAGGGGGCCACGTCTTGATATCCACCGTTCCCATCGCTTCCTGCAAGAGAAAATACACCAAGGGCACTTAGGCTGGAGTTTTTTTCTTTTCTTCTTCTCATTAACACTCTAATGGACATGCCTATCATTCGAGGTGATTCTGTAGATCTCATGTACACTGGAATTTGACTTGGATAGGGTCAATTTATCACAATACATGTAGTTCATCAGGATAACTTAGCCATTTTACTACACTGTACAAAGAGGGTAGATGTCACTTTAGTGCTCTGGAACAACAAACATCACAGACCATATTATAGAAGTTCATTTCTGCATAACCATTTAGGATGCAGAAGGGAAAAGTCATACATCAAATTTAGAACCCATAACAGTAAGTTTTGATAATCACTGAAAACTTCTTAGTTATAGTTTGCTTGTTTTCCTCTCAGCAAGCTGCGTTGAACTGTATCAGCAGTAACTCCCTCCATATACAACAAGCAACTGATAAAGGTTGCGGAAACAGCAGCAAGCAAAATCTAAGCAAACAGGTAATTACCACTGTTTTGTAAGAATAACTTTCTCACATTCTTAAGGAGATAATTTCAAAGAATTACAATAACGCTGACTGACCTTTGACTTGAGGAGTTTAACGATGGTTGCCGTGGAGAGGACCACCACTGATTTGCTGACCTCCACCACCATACGCACTGTAGGCAACGTCGTAACAAGGCTCTGGGCATGGGGAGGACGTACAGTCACCGGAACAGCACCTAGAAATGAAATACAGGGAACTATATTGTACGAAACACTGTCTATCAGGGGTATTGATGTTACTTGAAGTCAATTGGCAATGAGTTTTGCCATCAGAAAAATGTCAAACTACAAGTATTCTCATTGTGTGTTTCTTTGTGCGGCTGCTGCAACTCTACCTGATTATAAAGTTTTCTATGATTAATCCAACATGGCATGTCCCAGGGAGATGCAGTATTCAAGACTTGACCTGACCCAAGACCTAAAGCTAAAGAGATTGAGCTACCCATTTTCGTTCAGGTCTTGGACTTGGGGATCCTGTTTTGCTACATCACTAACAGGTACTACCTATAAACTGGACAGATTCTGCCTGGAATGACTTCTATGAAAAATATGGGGAAAAAAGAGAGAAATATGAAATAAAAGAAAACCCACTTGACAATGAAAGCATGAAATCTTAAAAGTAGCCAGTCTGAAACCATGTGGCAGATAAAGAGAAGCTTGAGGTAAAACTGTGGCCTCTGGCAACAAGACCTTAAAGCCTGTCTGTACTTGTTTGGCCAGGGGGATTAGACCTCCCTGCAAGGTCACTGACAGGTGGTTATCTCATCAAATCAGCTCTCAATTAACATAAGAAAAAGGAGATCATGGGGGACCAACAGGCATCGATTAGGCATTGTTTGCTATATAGAGGGCTTAAGTAGCTATAAGTAGTGCAGTGGGGCTGTAAGATGGGGGAAATTCATCTTCAAAATCTGCATTATGGGGAATACGGTCGATAAATGGATATGGATGATGATGAAAATGGTTGATACTCACCAACATAGAGACATCCATAGAAGGCTACGATGAGATCCAGGCCAGGAGGATAGATGAGAGCCACATGGTCACCAGAGTTGACCTTACCCTTCTCCTGGAGCAGCAGGGCTACCCGCTCTGACCGCTTGTGCAGCTGGCTGCAGTTGAGCGTCATTCCGACTTGACCCTGCAAAGGTACAACAAAAGAAGATAAAAGGTGAATTTGAGTCATTGAGTCATTCATGTTGACATAAAAAGAATGTTTTGGACACAATTTGATTCATGACAAAGGCAGTACTTTTTAACCATTCGCAAGTGTAGAGGCAGGACTAGGATCAATAGAAGCACAAGCAAAACAAAAGGGATAGAATGATAAATACTGTATATATACGGTAAGCAAGAAAAGAAAGAGAGAGAAAGCATAATATTAAAAACAAGAAAAGAAGGGAATCCTCTTACTATGCTGTTATCAAAACACAATCCAATGAAACATACCAAGAATGTTCAACATAAAGAAGAAAAGCAATCTTCAAAGAAAATTCATCATTATGTACATATTACTTTAATAAAGGTTGCAATGAGAAACACTGTACAACAAACACATGTGATTTTTATTGACAGAGGGTCTTTTTAGACAAATAGTTTTACTACACATGTAGCCGCTAGGGCAGATATGATTGCATTAGTACATACCTTGTTGTTTAGGAGTGAGAAGAGGACATGATCTGGTGTGCTCTGCGCTCTCCATTGTAACACCTCTGCCAAGAACTGGTTCTATACATTGTAAAGAATACAAAAGGTAAGTTACAAAAGTGTGAACATGATTCAGTGACATAAAACAAAATGGAGGTTGGGAATAACTAACAGAAATATACTAGATCATCATAGATTCTGTAAATATGGAGGTATGTTGTAATAATGAAAAATTAAGAATGTCAAATAAATTAAAAAAAATATTGTTGATGTATGTAAATAAACGTTTGTGAAAGAATAATGTAAAGAAGAAAAAATTCCATCACAACATAGATATTTTGCAATTCATGAGTTTTTTTGGGGTGTGACTGTTATCAATAATACAAAGTTTAGGATGCCACGATTGTCATTTTACAGTAGTGTTCTCTGACCTCATATCAAAGGTGGCTCATGTGATATCAAATAGGAAAATGGGCAATAGAGTACCGAAGCTGTGACGTCATAAACATCTCAGTGTTATTTGCTCTGGCTCCTAACCATGAAGAAAAACAAAGAAATTCTAAAGATAAATTTTGGATGACGTCACACTTCACCACTCTATTCATGTGTAAGTGTTATAGCTAACCTTTCTTGATGTTTCTGTATCTTCATCCCATGATCCGATCTCTCTTCCTGATGCTCCTGCTATGCGTGATCCTGCTACCAGGTTACCCATCATCACCGAGGCGGGACCAACGTCTGTAGGCTTGATCCTTGGCTTCGGTAGATTGGTGACGCACCTGCAAGTCAGTTAATGGAATATATATAATTTCTTTGAAATCGGTTCCATATCTTTGTCTTTTAATTCGAACAAAATCATGCTACTTTGGAATACTTGACTTATAACAGAAGAACAGGTTTATCAAATTCAAGGGTGATAGTGAGCACTAAAAAAAAAAAAAAATTTTGTTTTCCCCTCAACCAGGCCCCCCTTGATTAAAAAAAAGAGGAGGATTCGCGGGGGGAAATGGCATCTAACAACATTCCCCCTTTCGAGTTAGAAAATTGGGGGAAAAATAGGGCAAAATATGGAAGATTAGAGAAAATAACGGGGATATCGGTAAAATCAGGATAAAAGAGGAAAGAAGAAAAAAAAATCTAGTAAAAATAAAAAAATTTTTTAAAAAGATTACCGGTAAAAAAAAAAAAAATTGGGAAACCGATTTAAATCAGGTTTTTATCAGGCCTGCAATCAGGCCTGCAAATTAAATGTACTTTGATTTTTTTTAAAATTCATCTTTTTACTAAACTACAAGAGAGTTGCTCTGAATATGAGCATCTACATGGACATCTATTTATTTATTTATCTATCAGTCTGTCTGTCTGTCTGTCTGTCTATTTATCTATCTATCAGTCTAATGTATCTAGTCCGTTACCAATCTATCTAGAGAATATAACTATCATGTTATCAATCTCACTTCTCATCTATTTATCTATCTACATGCACCTACTTATTCATATCAATCTATCAATCACTGTTGGAGGTCTGTATAGCAAATTATTTATCAGTGTACCAATAAACATAGCCAATCGACCCATCCATCTACTTACGTATGAGGGCACATGAGTACATTAGTAGGATGAAGAGTTCCATTGATGAACCTTTGTTTCGTCTCTGACAGGTGGATTCCACCAAGAGGAGTCTAAAATGGAAGAAGAATAGATCAAAGATAAATCAGTGTTATGAAGATTATGGACTCCATAAAACATATTTTACAAGCATCATTGAGGAAGACTAAAGAGGCAGTTCTTAAACATTTTACCCAGCTGAGGCTATTAATGCTTTTAAACAAAAAGGAGTATGATTTTATAGTGTGGCTGAATGATTCTTCAAGATACAGTTCTTCTCTACTGAAAATGGGACACTGAAAACAAAAATTGCTATTTCATTTTGTTCTTCTTCATATCTCGCTAAAGGGAACATTCTCAGCCCAAAACCCTAACATTGATCAATATATTGGATTTTTCAAACTGATACTCTGCTTTAATGGAAACAGAAAGTGAATCTTACCTTGGGGAGTGAGTTTGGAGGAACTAAGGCCAGACAGTAGACTCCCACCTGATGAATGCTATCCACAGCCTGTAGTACTCTACTCATCCATTGGAAACACTGTGTAAGAGGGAGGAAAAACAACACATGTAATTTTTTTTTTCTTCCTCACTTTATTAACAATTAGTCACGTAGCTGACCTATTAAGAAAATATTTTAGATGTGAACAAAAGCCCATTGGCATTAGGCAGAATAGTATGATAAAGTCTTTTTTAAAAAGTTTAATATCTATTTTCTTCTCGTAATATATCTAACAAATTTGCTCTATTTTTTAACCTGTAGTCTGACACTAATTACCCTTTCAATGCAAATGTGAATTCGTTTAACCGTCATCCATTCCATAAGTACCACCCAACGGTTTTGTATCCTAGTCTGATAAATGGATTGTCCCATAACACAGCTCTTGCTGTTAGGAGTGGACAGTCCCATTCATACAGAGAGGGGTGCTTTACCTCTTCTTCTGAGGCTTCTGGTCTTTGCTCAGCAATGATGATTATCCTATCATCCTTCAGAACCTTGATGGAGAACACTGCGATTCTGCAGGAGAAAGAAAAAAATAGGTGTCACGATAGATGTCAAATTTTACAACAGTAGGATGGGAGGTAATAAATAATGAATGAAGAGAAACTGACAACATTTAGTAGAACATCTATCATTTATACATGTTATGGTCAATTAGTTCATTCACTTGAATTTCAATGCAGAGGGTTGAGGGTTCAAATCCCAGCCCTTGTAAACCATAGTTTTGACTTTCACTAAAAGAATACTTCAAAACAGCAATTCAGAAAATTCTTGAGAAATTGTGCATGGTTACCGACCAATAATTTACATTTCAGCCAGCAGTCATTCTAGACATTATCCAAAGGAACACTAATTTGAATCAATATTTCCTTGACACAAAGGGGGGGGGGGGGGGGTGTCATGTAACAGGGAAAATAGAGCAAAATATTTGAACATATCAACATACCTCCCTCTGTAGATGAACTTGAGTGGTTCGACAGCCAGTACGGTTGCAATGATGTCATCCATGTTGTGTCTTCTGCCGCTGATGATCATAAGACCATCCACCTTCCCACACACAAAGACCAGTCCACCCTGATAAGAAACAATAGAAAAAATGGTGTCAGTGGAGCTTCAAAATGGCAGATGCTTATTTATCTTCAAATAAAAGCATGTTCCCATGCTTCTCTACTTTCAACCATCTCTGAGGCAATCTTTAAGTCGTTCCCAAATCCAGTTTTTAGGTTCAACTTAACTTCAACTTTACTTTTAACTTACAAACATGCTTTGAGTTTCCAGAATAATACTCCTGGTAAAGTACCACTAAAATTAATAGAATTCATACCAATCACAAATGACAGACATAGAGACAAACAGATGGAAGGACAGAGAAAGAGACTCACAGACAAAAAATAATAGGCAGACATTAACCACAGAAAATGTATCTCATGATATAGGTTTATGAGATGAAAAGGAAGAGGGGCAGACATACAGGCATGAATAAAGTAAAAAATATGAAAGAATATGAGATTTCAAATAGACTGTCCAGCAAACAACAGATAAGATGGAGAAAGAAGTGGGATACCATATGCATTAGAGACGAAAAGTTAGGAAATTCAAATTATTTTGAGACTTACAGGTCCAAGGAAACCAAGCAGTCCCGTCCTCACAAAGTGCTGATCACTGATTGGCTGCTCAAAGTCTGTCAACGCTGTCACCTGACATTCATGAAGAAGAAAAAAAAAGAAATATACAAATTCAACTAACAATTCATAAATGATTCAGTAAAAGTTTCTTACATTCAGGATGCAAAAAATACCCATCATATTAAAAAAGTATAATCTCTTTTTAATCATTACAGACTAATGTCTTAAGAGTTGATACCTAATCCTATGTGAGGTTTTAGTTTTGTTGAAAATATATTTGGGCTATGACCTTGATTGGTTGTCCCATTCATATATATTGTAACTTTATATTCTTGGAAAATCATGGACAGAATAATGAAATATCTGGGACAAGTATCATTTGGTAGAACAATGTGACACCATATTTAAAATTACATTTCAATTACCTTTCACATTACCATAACTGAATATCATCTTTGAATACCAAGTATCACATTTTATGTACACACAGTGTTCAACATTGTTTTAATATCAAATGAACAATAAAAGAAAGGAGTCACTTACATTGAATGTACCATTAGTCTTGCCCTTCAGACCCCAGAACGATCCTCCGACTGATTCTGATGAGACGCAGAGTTCTCCTATCTCATCTGTCTTGCATAGTATAGGTGGACCTTCTATCTTCACAACTACCATGGCAGCTGTAGGTAATGGTAGCAGGGGAGGAAAAAAGGATGAACATTTTGCATGAATGACAGATGATGATGATGATGGGTGTCCAGATACTTACAAACAGTAATTGCTCTGGGCTTCATTATGTCAAAAATATAGCATTAGGGTTGCATGTATGTAGTACATTCATCATGAGGAGGACATAACATATATACGATTTTTATAACACTACAGTCTATTGGGGAAATGAGTATGGTAAAACCGGTCACTCAAAGATTTTTAATTTTTGAGACACTTCATGATCACTTTTAATCACAATTTTGTATGTTGTATGTATCACAGACTCTGATAACACATAGGGCCCTGCATCTCAGATTTAACATTGTTAAATGATGCTTTTAAAGCAATTTATTTGGCACTCACCTCCTGGCATGACCACTCCTACATCCTGCAGCGTTAATGATGTGAGCTTGTCGTCTGTATCTACCCTGACCACACCATAGGAGAGACCAGCCATGGATAACACCCCTCGTCCTGATGCTGTCATCCCAGTCTTACCCGGCCTGTTACCATCACGATAGAGAATGCATTAAAATGATATAGTAAATGTAGGAGTGGAAGATTGGAAGAGACAATCAAGGGACAGTAACATAAACAACGATTGAGGCAAAAGACCCCCATCCAAAAATTAAAAAAAAAAAAAAATGGTCAGAATATCAGAAGACTTGAATTGATCTTTGTTTTTAATTTCCCTAAAATTATTATCGCATGAATAAAGTGCCCCTTACCTGGAAAGAACATGACTTGGAGAAATGTTAAGTTTCAGATTAAAAATAAAGTTGTTGTACTTAACATATTGTATAAGACTAATGCATATTTAGAAAACGAGTCATAATTATCTTTTTCTTTACCTTTCATTTATATATAACAGATATTTTGGATAGAGGAAATGGATTGGGGGTTGGGGAGGGGGTTAAGGTGCATAGTTCATAAACCATCAATTGAAATTAAATTATATCTTTTGGAACAAAATTTCATGCTATGCCATTTCTGTCCTACCGGTATATGCAGTTTCAGATGAAAATGTTGACACACTGTGAGGTTCTATTGTTGGTTAGTCTGTGCTCATTTACATAATGCCATGATCAAATCATAAATCACCCAACGTGAGAGAACACATTCAAACCACACCCACCCTTCCACCTACATGTACACACACAAAGCAGTATAGTAGGGTGCAGTGCTGCATCAGTTTGACCCCAAAACTCATGTGTATATACATTCATGTGTGTGTGTTTATACTAGTATTTATGTGCTAAAATGGTATAATCATTTATAATTTACATGTACTAGTGTTAATTCTATCTTTTTTCTGTCAATAAATTGTTGTAAAATTCGATTCCATTCTAAATACACTGCAAATTCAATTCTAAATTCATAAAGTAAGTCCAATATCTTTGTCCCTTTGTCTGAGATATGACTATGCTCCAGAGGTGTCACATTAAATGTTGTCTTATCTAACTTGCACCAAAATCAGGTGTAATGTTGTATGTCAACTTATGTTCAACAATATACATGTTTATGGTATAATGTAGAGGATAAAAGGAACCGATAATGTTAGCTTGGCCTTTTTAGCATGCACACTGACATGTCTTTGGATTTTGGAATAGCAGAACGACTTTTATTTTCTTCTCCTTCTGTACTACACACATTTTCATTGGGAAAAATAATTCATACAGCAAAGGTCATCACTCCATGCCTACACTGATACCTCAATATGATAAGAAATATAAATAAAGAACAGGATTTTAAAGGGGTAAAATCATGCCTTTCTTGAATATTTATTAAGGGGTATCTGTTGGCCTAAAGCCCTGATGAGCATGAGATGACAATAAGCTATTTTAAAAGAATAAACGGGTTTCACAAAGAATCACACGCTTGAACAGGCCTTGGACATAATTTCTGCATTCCCATAAAAGATGCACGGCTTTCATTGTTACGACAACAAACAAAACACTTAGACAAGGCCAAAGGTCAAATCGCTTACCAAAATTTAGAACTGTTGACAAACAAATGAAAACACAAAGATGATGATGGTTTGTTTGACACCTACTGCCTAATGTAGCATCAATAATCGCAGAGGGAACTGGCAAAGAATTGTTATGATGAATGCCTCTATACAAAACTACCCACTGAGTGTGAAAGAGGTACCACATTAAATCATCTGCCTGTTCTCATAGAACAAACTTCATCGCCAAGGCTTCGCATTAATTATTTCCTTTGCTGACAAACTACATAGGCTGACAAACTAGCCTCATCATGAAACTCCTCTTCATGGTTTGATTTGGGATGTTCGAATGTATCGTAGTGTTATGAATTAGATCATACACTGTATGGGTACTTCTCTGGGGTTAAATGCTCTGTTTAAATATAGGAGCTATTAGCCAAAAGTATTGAGATGTAAAAAAAAATACAAATAATAATACAAAATACATATGGAATATGGAAAGGACCGGTAAATAGATTCAGGTTGAAATTTTGAAAAAGATGGAAGATTTATTGTAATTTTATAGTGTTCACAATTCCTTTGAATTAAAAGAAATGGTAAATGGGGGAAAATAAAGAGTTTCGTTCAACAACACAACACTGGAATATAACCTCGAACAGAGCTAACAGAGTAATTGTCTAACTATCATCTGTTGAGAGCCAGAAGGGTGTTAACCCATATTCTTGAGCAAAGAGTTAACACCCTTCTGGCTCTAAGCAGCTTCTATTTGTTCTTTGCATAACTCTTAAGTTCTCATTTTCCTTTCCAAACAGCTTGAGTTGTGAATTACCTTCGTATTGAGACAGTGAGGGCTTCTGCAGCACATGCACACGGACATAGCACTTCAGGTTTGAGACCTTTGCTCTGGAAAGTACTCAGGAACGCATCGCACGATGACAGGGACCCTAGAAAGAAGGAGACAAAATAAATAATCATAAAAATAAATCAGGATTTATACAGTGTTTGATATGTAATAATGTCTCTAAGCACCTCATAGATGCATGTATTATTACCTTAAGTCAGATAATTCTTTCATGCATATAATGTGTACACAATCTCCATTCAACAGGGAGTATTCCTATGAAATAGTTATAGTGAGGACACATGGCAATCAGTATGTGCTTTGTCATCCTACCAGGTGTCTATTTGTCTCCTGTGTATGGAGTCTCCATTTTAAACCACTGTTCTGCAAGTGAAATGCTCATTAACACTTTTGAAAGGATATTTGTCTCCTGGGTATGGAGTGGCAAAATCGAAAAGGTCACTTTGTATTGGACCAGGGCTCTGTCGCACAACTTCACATCTCCAGTCTAGTGTTCAAACCAGTTGAATGGAAAGCGAAATGTTCATGACACTTTTTAAAGGACGTATGACTTACATGGGTTAGCTCCGTCAGCAACTAGAAGCATCCTGAGCGTGCTAAGGTTGATTCCTTTGTGTTCTTTCTGGGCCATCAGACCCCAGTGCATGTCTCTCGACTTCACAATGGCAAGGGTGGCTGTAAAGGAAAAACAGAAATGGAAAATATAAATCATGATTTCAAGGGTTATCCCAATTATAATGTTCTTCGTATTTTTCTCATTGATGCTGCTTTTGAAAGCTAGTATGAGGCAGGGGCTTTTAGAAGTCATAATAGGCATGGAAAGACTGAAGCATGTATCAAAAAGAGTACAAGGGCACGTGAAATAATGTAAAAAGGAATATTTTGCATACAGAGGGGTGGAACATTTGAACACATGAAGTGGAAAATCTCAGTTGACATTAGCTTTGAAGAGGTGATTTTGATCCTGATCTATTGTATGAGATTTCTTTTTGGAACATGGCATAAAGACTGGAAAGAGAAAACAATTTCAATTTTTATTGCTTACCTTTGTACTTGGTGACGATGTGCATCCATGATGCTGGATTGACTTTCATGAGTGAGTAGGGAACAAAATAGACTTGCATCCCATTGAAGATACTCTGCAAAATAACACAAAAGCAACAGCATACGACATAAATTATCATTCATTCATTCCAAAAATATATGGTATGGCATCTTTTAGATAGTACCTGCCTTTCAGGAAGGGTGTTTACAGTGAAATATGTATTAATGAGACGATCCAAGGGAAGCAGAACAATAAAGTTATGTCAGTAGAAAATGATTTAAACATAGCTGCCAAACATTCTTATTTTGGAGGAATGAGTCTGATTTTTTGTTGGCCTTCAAGCTATTGTTTTGAACCCTAGATTCCTCTCTTTGTCTGAAATATTCTATTTACAAAGTATACAAAATTCACTATATTCCTAATTTTCACTGTGAATGGTTGGCAGGTACGCTTTAATGCCCGGACTGCTCAGTGAAGCGAGAGAAGTGGTTTATCATATCTAATGAGAAATGCTGTTTTTCAAACAAAATATGTGGTCTTTACAGATAGCTGGTCAATATGCAGTGTTGACAAACTACCTTTAAATGTCAAAAACTGTCAGACTGTTAACCAATTCAAAACTTGTCTGAAGACACATCTATTTGAAATTGCTTTTGATGATTAACTTACTCTGTTCACATTGATGTATAATTGCATATGTATTGTAATTTATAGGTTTATTTGCATTTTCTTTTTGTTTTGTTTTGTTTAATATGTAATTGTTTATCATTGTATTTTGTTTGTTAAAGCGCTTAGAGACTTCGGTGGTAAGTGCTTTATAAGCACCGTTTTTATTATTATCATTATTATAGTAATTTAAGAATAAACAGGAGTTACTCACGGCTTGCACGCTATGCCATAGTCCCACGTCCCTCTTGAAGTCCAGAACGTTGACCATGGTCTCTCCTTCTCCGTAGTTACAAGCTACCGTCAGCGTCCGACAGTGGTATACCATCGACCGCCTCGGGATGGTCACGCCCATTACACTGCCCTCGTTGTCAGTTGTGTACTGCAAAGCAAATAGAGAAATAAGCATGAATCATGCCATATCTTGTGTAAGGCAATTTATTATTTTCTTAATGCCATTCTTCAACTCAAATCAATTCAATTTAGTTCAATTCAATTCAATTTCAATTCAATTCATTCATTTCAATTACAGCAAATAAAGTATTCAGTATAATACAGTACAAGTTTTCCAATCGGTATAATGGGACTTAGGATGGCCATTAAAAACCAGATGAGGGTTTTGTCAAGATGACCAACCGGAAAAAACGTGTAATGAATTTTATTTTTTCAAAGCAAAGAACAAGTTCTTATGACTAATGTGAACAGCTTGCTTGTAAAGGACACTTGTCTAGGGGACAGATTCAATAATCCTTGCGATCAAGAGCCAGTGCTTCAACAGCACCTTTGATGAGTACAGAACACCCCCCTCCCCCCCCCCCCCCTGCTCCACTGTATCAATAGCACTTTCACTAGTCAAAGAGAAGATGAGGTCTAGACAGACCATTTCTTACCTCAATGTAAGCAGCCATATCGTCTGCTGGGCGGGGTGGGATCTGCCAATCCTTGGGAGGTTTTGAGAGATGCTCTGTTACATGCCATGCAAGCTTGGGCCAGCCTGTAAACAAATACATGTAAATAGACAAAAGAACGGTTAGTGGTCATATATTTGATGAACAGCATGATGGAAAAAAGGAGGATGAGTTCTGATGAAGTGAAGAGTAATTTGTGAGCTTTCTCATTCATTTTATTTCTATGAGAAAGACAATCATAGAAGCTGAATATGCACCATGAAAACGATCGCTCTTGACATGCTACTGCTCTCATACTTTAAATATAACTAGGATTAGTATGGAACTTTGGACCAGATTATGAAGCAAATGTACCTTAATCTATTTCTGGTACCTTTCACTGTATGTGTTTTTCAGAAATATAAAGTCCATTTGTTATGGTATTGATGATTCCATTGATGAGAAAGTTGGTAGTCCAGCAGTCTTCAATAGCACAAACGTTCAAAGGAAAAGGTTCATATAAATGACTTTTTTCTAAAGGTCATATAAAAACAAATGTTTACCTTTGAACCTTGACACCTCGCCGGATTGCGTCTTTGGTAGCTCCTTGAGACAGGCACTGGTTGTCAAGGCAACGGAGATGCCACAACCTCCAAGTAAGAAACCAATCTGTTGACTACCAGCATCCTGAGAGGGAAAAGATGGAAGGAGAGAGGGTGAGGGAGGGGCAGACAGACAGAGACAGCCAGAGAAAAGAGCATGAGATGAGATGAGAGAGAAAGAGAGAGAGAGAGAGAGAGAGAGAGAGAGAGAGAAACCAAGAGAATGATAGGTTTCATTTAACACCAGTACTGTAAGCATGTGGTTGAAACACTTGTTAATCTTTTTTTTTAATGATGTGGTTGAAATACTTGCCGTGATACAACCATTATTCCCCATAGCATTGACGTAATTCTATTCTGCTATACAGTACATAACCAAAAACTTCATTTGAAAGAAGAAGCACTGAGATACATGTACAGTCAATCAAAGACACTGAAAATACCTTTTTGGTTCTCGAAGCTTAGAGTGACATAGACAATTTTGTTGTCTTACTAAAATGTTCCTGATAGCTGATAAGGAGAGAGAGAGACAGGTCAACTTACCTTCTTAGTGACTGGAACATCTATTGCAACTGGTACAATCCCTGCAAAGAGACAGCCATAGAAGGCGCACATGTATGCTGCTGGGTCAGAGTTGGGGTATACAAGGGCCACCTGGAACAAAGAATACCACACAAAAAAAGGACACAAATTATTATTTATGAATACATTGCAACATTGGTAGTGATAACAAATATTAGCCAAAAGGTAACTTCAAACATATATACATGTATATACTCCAGGCCATTTTACTTATACTAGAAGTAATTTCTGCCTTTTTGTCAAAAAAATCTGCCAATACTCATTATCTAATACTCTGGACACCAATGTTATGGTGTTTGAATATTGGTATTACAGGTACATGAATATTAACGTGTTATCCAAAGAAACATGAAAACATATATTGGTAAATCATCATATAAACCTTCAAACCCTCTCTGAAAGAAAGAAGAAATGTGGTTGGACTTACTCTGTCTCCTGGTTTCAGTATGGGTTCCTTTCCACCAATTTTATTCAGCAAGAAATAAGCAATTTTGTTGGCTCGGCTTAGTAATTTTCCTGTTGGGGAAAAAAACAACATTCAATTGATTACACATTATTAACATCGGCCTTCTGGGATGTTAAAAAATAAATAGATGGTGAATCTAATCAGAAATTTCATTTCATCAATTTCATGAGTTCTGAGGCAGCTTAATAAAGTTACATTCATTATTTTTCTGAATTGTCTGAATTAGTTACTGATATAATAGAAAGGTATTATGGTATCTCTTTTTCAAGAACTTATGAATCTATCAAAAGCTTAAGGGGTTATTTAAGAAGAATGTTGGAAGGTATATTATATACTTACTCCAGATTCTACACTGATCAAATGCACAAATGCGAACTTCATTTTATAATGTGATGATTACATATGATTGGATGTATTTACATAATCATGATGAACATGTATAACTTCGTTTTGTAACAATTTCAATAGTAGTTTGTAGTTTCTGAGTTATATAAACATGTCATATTTTTTCGCAAAAAAGATATAACCGATATGTCTCTTCACATATACATCAGATGTACATGCAGTTCATTTTAATTCATAACAAAAACAGATTAGTTGATTGATTTACATGTGGCTTACCGTAAGTCAGCTGGAAATGTACTTTGCCGTTGGCATCTAGTGATGAGACGACCGGAACCTTGGGGGTTGCAGTCCCATATCTCTGGACCGCTGACTCCAAATTCCTGGGCAGGCCTGTCGGAACCTGTACCAAGGATGAGGATAATGCAAGGTGATAGCTTCGGATGAGTGGAAGTAATTATAGGGTTGGTGTTGACTGTCTAGAACCTTTGATATCTATGGTGATATTTTGATGACTTGTGATTCCTAAACTAGAATTAATTATAGTTTGAAGATCAACTTAATAAATTGCATGTGTATAAATGGATGTATGTCAAAGTTTGTCATATTTTTTAGATGAAATTCCAGCCATGTGAATCTGATTGTGTAAACAGAATGTTTTTTCTGATCAGCTCTACCAATCAAATGAACCACTTTTTGTCAACACCAGTACCACCACCATCATCATCATCATCACTATCTTCATCATCATCATCACCATCACCGTCATCATTATCCTCATCACCACCAGCACCATCATTTTCATTATCATCATCAAATCATCACCATGAAATCATCATTGTGATCATATCATCGCCATTGTTATATATGGATGACGTCATACGATGACCCACGATTGTAAAGCTGCGCATGCGCCTTGCGCAATAAACTTGCTTTGGAATCTTATACCATGAGTATCAAACATGTGCTATTATCTGTCTTGAGTATTCATCTGTGTACCTTAAGTAAGAGTACATAACAGCTATCATTGCCATCGTCTATCAATTCCAATGTCATAGAAACAATCATCTGTTCCACTTACATTCAGCTGCTCTCCAATGGCTGGGGTGATGGTGTTACCCTCTGGTTGAGGGGCGTTGGGGTCCATCTCGTTTGCAGCTGAAGGAAGAAAACAAAAACATAATTCAAAAGTTTGTCCAATTCATGATCATTTTCTATGTTGTCAATGAAGGAAACTATCTATTTTAATGAGAGGTATGTATGTGTCCAATGTTACATATAAAGCACACGTATACAGAATTATTCTCTTTAAAGAAAACAAGTAATTCATTTGATTCATTTGAGTTAGTGCAGAAAGACTGGAGATAATCCTAAGGTAAATCGCAGTTCCCAATTTTGTATAGATCAATTGCAACTTTTAAAATTTTTGCACTCTCTTATCTTGTATTGGCTTTCCACAGACTTTCACTGGTCAATTTCTCCCATGTATACTTGTACCAGATTAGATTTCCCTGTTCAACAGTGTTTTACAGGCCCCTACTATTACATAAAACAGAGTAAAGCCTACTTAAGGTATGTTAGTACAACAGCAAAAAAAGAAAAAAAAGAAAGAAAAGAAATAAAGACAAAATTTTGTATTACCTTCTAGTTCTTCTTCTTCATCTTGGAAGAATTCTTGGAGTGGTTTTCTCTTGGGTCTCTTCAGTGTGTTGAGTAGCTGCTGAATCTTTGCAGACACCTTACTGTTCACCATCGACCCTGTGAATGAGAGACGCGAGAGAGAGAGAGAGAGAGAGAGAGGTGGTAAAGTAGAGAGTTAGGGGAGGGAAAAAAGGTAGGCTCAGAACATGTACAGTACACTAGGGTGACAATTTCATTATCATGATTGTAAGTGGAATCTCTTTATTTTGCAAGCCATTGGCTTTTTAATGCGTTTTCCTAGGCACAATTCTAACATATATTATATCTTTGTATTTCATGACATTAATGAATCAAATTGAATTAAAATCCACATTTTGGTAACATTATCATTGAAGGTACTTTTTAAAAACATATTGGCAGAGTAATAAAAGTACATTAAAACATTTGTTCATTAATTTTGTTAAGAATGTAAGAAAATTAATCCCTGAAAGTTTGAAGACTGATCAGTGTTTAGAAAGGAAAGAATCATTTTTTTTTAAAGAGTTCAGAATAAACTTACATGTAATCTAACCAAATATACGATATGAGTGTGAATAATCCTATTCATGTACCATATTCACAATTAAATATAATCATCAGGTTACATTTTAACTATGTTATCAAAGGAACATATTTTACATCATCTTTATAATGTAATTAATCTTATTATTCCAAATGCCACTAAATTGTAATCATTACTATAATGCATTTTTGATAACCAGTTCTCATCATTACAACATTGAAAATTAGAAATATCAAATACAAGCATGAAAAAGAATAATACAAAACATAGAAATTAATTCTATTACTTGCACTAGAGTATAACAATATTGCATGAGTCAGTGACTTGGGACTGTCAAGGATAATGTATTCAATGTCATTAGAAAGTAAGAGCTTTTCATGATATTAATTTCATACCAGGCACAAGTTGCTGGTACATAAACTGTCATGCAAAATACAATTTGTATAAACTCCAATAGTACAGACTTCCATTCAAATCTACAATAATGAATACAATATGCATTACTCTACTGTACCTTGAATATTCATATTTTACAAACATAAAAAATGTAATCAATAAACTGCATATAGTGAACCATACTCAATGTATTACACCTAACACCATACTTTAACACAAATATTTAATAGCAAAAAAAAAAACATTCATATATATATATATATATATCCAGAAAAATGTACAAAATAATATATTTTACAATATAAGAATCTTTGAACGATACCAAGTAGTTAACTACTTAATTCTACAGACATAATTAATAAAATAGAACTCACAATCAGATACAGTCCTACACTTCCAAAATAAAGTAGTCTTTCAATATGGCACCAAACTAAGGAAGCAAACAAACACACCCAGCTGTCTGATTCTATTCCTCAATCTGTTAGGAGCTGACATATGAATTTATCGTCGATTCAATTATCATCTATAAATCCGTAACCTTGTCCCTGTTCATACTTGTACATGACCATGCCAGTTTGATTTATTACACATAGGTACAGTATAAATAAACAGAATGTGGTTATACTGATGTTATGGTTGGGTTGGTACCAGTATCTACATGATTGTACAAAATCCTTGTATTAGGCAGTGAGAAGATTTTTAACACACAATCCGGTGACATTTGCTCTGTGGTATACACTGTATATCCTTCACTAACCACCTGTATTCTTTTAACTTCAATATCCTTGATCGCAACCCAACCCTTAAACTAACCTAAAGGTAACCTAAAACCAGATTAAAAACCTACCTCTAAACCTAAACCTAACCCTAACCTAGATCCAATTTCAATCCAAACCCTAGCCTCTGATCAAATCACATCCCAGCGTGATTCCCACTGGGCAAATTTCAGAGCACCTATGTGAAAGGTCACAATTTTGAGTAGAAAAGATAAGCAGGTCTGTAAGACCTAGCATATGAACAGGGTCTGTATAAATTCCTTCATCCTAACAATAACTCCACCTTCCTGTATGAATCCATCAATAATCTTTTGCAGATTTAAACATAATTTTAATGATTTCAGATGATTCTTCAGACCTTGGTTGCAGGATAGCCTTTGTTGTTTTAGAAACAAGTGCATTGTACAAAGAAGCAGTGGTTTTACAGATATACACCGTATATTACTGTAATAGCCAAGAATGCTTTATATCTATCACATATATATACATGATATCTGAATTGCTCTCAGCCTCCACCTTTCATCTACATGTGCAAACGAATGAAATAAAATGAATGAAATCTAGCTTCAGAAAGCAATAAAATATGTACTTACATGATCCACAGGCTTCATCAAATTGTTTATTTGTAGCCTTTGCAAGAGATCTGACCAAAAAAGGGCACTTTTTAAAATCATAAAATGTGATAGCAATTCATGATGCACTGCATGTATATTCTATAGACAATCAAAATAATCTACATCGATAGAGTTAAAATCCAAAACAATACAAAATATATCCATGTTAACATCAAGCATTAACTCGATCATTATGTTCTTTCCAATAAATTTCCAAGACAATGTAAAGACAGCTGTCCCTCACATTTTGTTGTTCTTTATCATGTGCTGGCTTTTATCAAGACCAATTAGAGGAGTGGAACACTCAAGTGTACAGCAATTACATACAATAAGAACTTGCGAAGAGATAGTATCCTCTTTAATAAACACCTTTAAATACAAGTACATGTATCTATAAAGTGAGTCACTGTTCCATAGTGTTCAGAATTATGATTTGCAGGCATGTCTGGCAGCTAAATTTTTAAGTAGGACTCTCTCGTAAGAGAAAATTTTCTGCAGGTTGTTCATTCTGTCAACCTTGGACAATAAATTCCCTGGAAAATCGCCCCTTCCTGTACTTTTCTCACTAGACAGCATGCATAACAAACGTACATGTAGCCTGTATCAACTGTATTAGGCCCGGCAGACCAATGTGACTATTCGTCTGTACACAGAGCTTACTGCATGGCTCAATATGCGCTAATTATGGAGTATAGATAAGTCGTAAGGCTCCTAAAAAGATAATTTTGTCTTGTCGATAGTGCGAAGTGGGCTAGCTTACACAATTTAAAAAGCTTTTGGTATCCTATCAGCCCCTTTCTCAATAATAACCTCAGAATTGTCCTGATTATTTTATACATTCAGCAAATATAAATGTACATGTATCATATGAATACATGTATACAATGTCTACAAACCCAATATCGTTTGTTCTTAGACTGTCTACAGTTACCAGTGTCATCATGACCTACGCATTCCTGACAATAACGAACTGCTAATTGATCAGTGATAGCAGTACAGATTCTACACATGCTTCTTCAACAATGATATACAAATAAAAAACAAGAAGCAAAGTCTTACAATTGACCCTCTATGATCTATCTGGTGTAATGGAATCTTGCCCATGAAATGCCATTCACTTACGCTGAACATGGACACTCCATAACGAATAGCAATGATGCCTTGCGATTTATCCTTTCCTCAAGAGAGCACTGACTTGCACCAATGCAGGAAGCGTTTGCACCTTCCTGCAACGTTCCAATGGCAAGCCTGCACCGCTACGCATACAGTACTCTGCGTAGATCGTTCAAACATCCAGTATCCGTGACAACGTCGGGATCCTGCGCCGGATGACAACCCACGTCGCCCAGGAAGCACAAGACGAACTAAGACTCTCTTAAGAGGCTCTCCAACTCATTGTTAAAGACACGGCAAGAACACTTTTCATGTGACTTGAATGAATTCTGCAGTCCCACCTAATCAAATCGGTGTCACATCCATTATACACACATGTATAACCTTTGCTAATTGTAACTCACTTCCCCCTTCAAATCACCACCATTACTGAAGATAGTTTTCCTTGAACGAGCGCATGCATCCAGTTTGCTGCTGCTCTCCTTGCAGTATTTTCAGGGGGAAAGAAGAATTCATGTAACCCTACATGTTTGTTTATGAATCATCTAGGCCATTCCTTAAATGGTCTAGGAAATTACCAATTTCTTCTTTGCACTTCACTGCCTTTCAACAAAACATATGCCCTGTACATCTACATGTATCTAATAATTAACTATTCACCCTATTATTGAGTGTGTAAAGTTGTAAACACAATTTGAACATCAACATACAAAATCCTGAACAGACCTGAATATTAACCTGCCTGTATAATGTATCTCAATTAAATCTACGCTTAATATTGACAGTGTTATTTTAATTCATAACATTGTTCATTACATTGTTCATGAGTATGATTTTATTTTCAACACAACATGCAACTGAATATCCATGCCAGCAATTCTTTATCAAGGAGCAATATATATTCTTTAAACGTAAAAAGCTATGATACTTACAGAACATCGGTATCACAACAATAAGAAAGAAATACAACCGATAAAAACTTAATGAAATAAGACACTGTTGTGGAGTTCACAATATTAACAAGTCCTCCTTTAAGATGATACTCACTATGTACATGTAGTTGACAAAGCATATTTTGAAAAACATAATAAGCCTTTTTCAAAATACAAATAACTTTTTCTCTCAATGATGCAAAACAAAAGATATCATGAAGCATAACAGTTCCAAGGTACATTCTACAGCAATAAATCTGTCATATCTTTGTAAAACAGAGACACACTACCATCCAACTCTAAACCTACCATGGTCTTTATCAGTGATGTGCAGCCCCAAGTTATCATCAGTTTCTTAACGACAACTCTAAACACATGCTGCTATAGTGAAAGCACACTTGATTACTCATCCCGGCTGATCGAGAGAGTAACAAAAATCCTTGTTGCTACTCAACAAAACTGAGAAAGGAAGGAGAGAAATCACGAGGATATCTCGAAACAAACGTGAGAGGAAGCCGGGGCAACTCACCTGAATCGTCAGCGTGCTTGCTCGTTCCCTGGACGTAAGCGATGTGACCCGAGCTCGCTGTCACGTCGGGAGGCGGCTGCACAGCGCCACCAGCCCCTGTGAGTTAACAAAGTCGGGATAAAGGAATAGTACAGTGAGAGGAAGGTGATGACGGCTACCACACTTTACTTTGTCTTGACGAGTACTGGAGAGGTGTACATGCCGTATTAGAGAACTGGTCTCAAGGGCATTTCAACCTTCTCCAGACTCAGACCAAAATTACCTCACAGATATTATTACACAAAGGAATGCTCCTGTGTTGGGTATGAAATGACAATTAGATAAGATCTTCTTTGTTTCAATCAAAGAAAGAGAAGTGTGCATCCAATCATACTAGATGAAATATATCCTGTTATGTCCGCTACTGAACCTGAATGGTCTCATTCATACTGAATACCAGCAAGAATGTTTTAATGTAATGTATCCATGAGCAATAGCCAACATTTAGCAGAAAGTATGACAGATGTGGAGGTGGGGAAAAGATTTGTTTTAATCTTTCTTTTCCAAAAATATTCTTGAACAGCCTTCAAGGAGTTTGGTAAAGTCACAATAATTCAGGGATCGTCATTATTCTCTTAAACTATTTTAGACTAGAGGAAAATGTGAGAGGAGGCTGGAGTTTGACCAATATGGGTTGTGTTCGCATACAGGATATTTCCAAGGTTAGGCTTTAACGAGAAGCCGCAGCACTTTGTTGGGTGGGTGTGCTATTTGCCACATCCAACCCCCGGGCATTTCGGGAGGAAAAGATCATTTAAGACAAATAAGGCAATAATTTCTTTTCCATTCTTTCAGTCTGCTTTGTCTCCTCTTTTCTTAGAAAGCAATTATGTTGTCATGTTCATAGATGAACTTTGAACTACATACAATGCTCATGATCTAGGAACTAAGAGGAAGAGCACTTAAACTATAATTGTCAATGTTCTCTAAGATGCAAAACAACTGTCCTACACATGTTTAAAATTACTCTCTTGAAATAGATCAGTAAATTGATGCCTTATGTATCCATGTCACTCATCAGAGATGGTTTAGTATACATAAGGAAGGAAGGCCCAAGAAGTAGCTGGAATGTTGTTTGATAACAAAGTCCTGACATCCATGTATATGTAATAGAAATATCTGTCAAAACAGAAAAACCACGCTTGTAAGCTTTGCTGTAAAACCATTTTAAACAATTTATTGTTTTGTACAAGACAAAGTAAAACATCATTGTAGGAAGGATTAGGTTCTCAAAATAACTCTTGTACATACTTACAGTGAGCAAAACCTTCATCATAGCAATGTAAACATACTGATCTGTCTGTGCTGTATATTTGTGTATGGTTATGATTTTTGTAATGTATGGGAAATAGCCTCTGTTGGGTATCAAGTCCATATACATGCACTACATTAGTCTACATTTGCATCATATGACTTTTAGTGTAGATCCAACAAGCTTTGCTGTGTATTTTGAGTCATATTTATGTCAAGATATTTCATGATGTAAACATAAAAGTCGTTGCCATCAGTCACAGAAAGGGAAGATATTTTGTAACTTAATGCCCATTGCATGATTCATACATGACAGATAATGAAAGAGGAAGAAATGGATTGAGGTCTTAGGAGGTGGGTTCAAGTTTCCGGTCCAATTTTGTCTATTACATGCCAGATATTCTTCATCAATATGATGATTTTCTACATGAAGATTATCAATATTCCCCAATAAAGATATAGGACACCAACAAGACTTTTCCACTAGCTTGAATGAAGTGGTCGAGTTGTGCTATGCAGCTAGCCACCTCCTCATGTATATAATAAGCTAGATGAGCCCCTCCCCCATATCACAAAGTGCCCTTAAAGGGATCTGGTAAACTTGTCTCAGATTCTGAAACAAAATCCTGGATTTTGCTCATGCTGCAATGATAATTATAAACATTTAGGTCAGTCAGGAACCCCATGACTTTTACAAGCCAATTGTCTGTCTGATTATCAAGATATTTATGATTGGAATTACAAATTTTGAAAACCGTTTGCCAAACGTTTTTCATAAAACTAAAGTCTATTGGGGAAAACGAGTATGGTAAAACCGGTCACTCAAAGATTTTTACTTTTTTGAGGCACTTCACGATCATTTTGAAGAGCAATTTTGTCTAGGGCTTCAATATTACACCTTATCTCAGATTTAACATTGATAAACGATTCCTTGAAGAGAGAAGGAAACCCTGACTTACAGCTGCTTGCAATGTCGAGCCCCCTGGCTCCAGAGGCAGCCCCTCGGCCAGCACTGACGTGTCCATTGGCTGGTTGTAGTCTGTGGTAATGTGGATTGAGGCCCGGCTCGCCACTCCCCACATAGTGGAAGCTGGATGACCCCGCCCCAATGTCGTGGGTGTGGTGGGAGGATGAGGAGGAGATGGAATCGTCATCGTCTGTCTCTGATTCTAAAGATGAAGATGAAGATGAGGAGGAAGTCGTTAGCAGGGAAAAAATAATTAAACAATTTCGGGGGCTACTTTTCAAGCTTGCTTGCATGAAAATAACACTCTTTAATTTGTTTTGCATATTTTTGTGGGCTCTTTTATGACTTTCAGGGCTAATTCGCCCTGAGCCCCAATGTATTCCCCCCCGGTCGTTAGTGTCTAAATGGACAGAAGCTTGTCGAACATCTATTACCATATTGGCATTTATACAGAATCTGAATCTGTGTGCTTTACAATTAATCGGAACATACACAAAATTATACAATTTAAGAATGGCATTTAAATTGAACTTTTTGAATATGTGTATTGCAGCTGTGTACAGAAAAAAAAAGAGGAAAGAGAGATTTATGGCTTGTGTATATGAGGTTGATGGGACTTTATACAGATATAATTTATCACTGAATGTCTTTAAAGCCCATTCAAGTGTTGGGAACCCCAAATTTGCCAAAAATTTGAAGTCAAAATTTCACTTAAATTGTACCATAATGGTAAGAGGACACACTTTTGCAAAAAGTTCCCCCCCCCCAAAAAAAAGAATATAATTTTGGTTTTATGTTACACGCCGAAAATCTAAACTGTCTGGGTATTGAAATCTGTTATATAAATAAAATAAAATAAAAAAGACGACTTTCAGAATTAGGGGTGGGGATAGCCTTTAAACAAGGCCACATGCCTGATAGACGCCGAGCGACTAAAAAGAGACTAATCGCGAAAACCTGAATGAACGCCAGTGCGAATTGTCCTGACCTGTGGCCTTTATCAATCTGGTTTGGATTTCTTATGTTAACCCTTGTTTCCGACTGGAACTCGCTTCAGAAAACGTAGTGTCCAATCAGCGAACGTATCCTAGCACGACGTCAGCATATAGTATCCATCACACACACACACACACACACACAGTAAACTCTACGTAGTGCGAACATGGACCTACATGCCTACTATACGTACGTGCTAAGACCACTGACCACTGACCTCTACATGGAATGAATCACGAACGAAGCCAACTAGGAGATCGCCGTTCTGATTGGTCAATGAATCCAAAGTAGGCGTATTGGCCTACTAATATGTATCTATGAATAATTCATGCGGAGCAGTGAAACCCACTTTCCAAAAGGCCTCATGACATTCGTCATTCGGTCGCGCGTTCACTCCGGGTATCTAGACTCATCTCAGCCACTTAGCCAGAGTCAACGAGGCCTTGTCAAAAGGCTAGGGTGGGGAAGGAACTAGTCAAGGAACTTTTCATAAATGTATGTCCACTACAGTTCACATGTGCTAATTTCCCTCCAATTCTAAGAGCGAGCTTCCTATTTCATAGGAATACAAATCTGCACAACAATTGCAAAGTCTTACCATTGTATCATAACAACAAAAAAGTTCACTGACCTGGTGGTGTTTCTATGGCAACCACATTGGCATGCAGCGAATGTCTCTTGGATGGTAAGGGCATCACCAGTTCATTGTGTTTGGCGAGGGCCACCTTCACCGCCTCCTCCCGAATATCTACATGGTGTACAGGAAGAGGGAGACGAAGGATGAGAAAGAAAACACAAGCGTGCTTATTAGCAACAAACGAGATAATGCACAAATTCCTAATCAAGTCATAAAAGTTCACCCGTTCTAATTACAACATAAATTCAGATTGGCGTGTTGACTTGCAGATGACCTGGCAGACTTCCAGATTCCAACCGTACATACCTTTCACTTCTCTTTACACGGTCTTTTGCTGGAATCCCCTCTTAAAGGGGTACTGATGAAGGACATGTATCTGTCTTGATCAACTACATGTATGCTATGAAGTTTACAAACTAGATTTGAATCATTGCCAAGGGTGCAAACAACATTTTTCTCATAAATACTTAAAACTAAAATTCAGAAGAAAATGAATACATTAAATGTTAAAAAAATAATGGTGATTTTTTTTTTTTTTTTCAATGTCAAGAATTTTGTATAAAAATTGAAAGAACGTCACTCAAAACAGAAGAAGATAGTAACCCTTTCATATTCACTGCCATAGAGGATTAAGCCCAGGACTCAGTCCAGACCCGAAAGCTAATATGAATGGTTGAAGCTCAACTGTATCACATGCTCCACACTCAGTATGGACCTCTTATCCCGCATTGATTTAATAGGATGGTAAAAGGCAAAACAACACACCATAAATGGATTCTCTGTTACAGATCAAAATATAAATAATTCCTTCTGGATGTACTGTAATATTTTCATACTGCATGGAAGGAAACACATCAGAAAGCATGGCAACAAGTTATGGTCATTTGGCGAAAGCTATGCCAAACCCAATTTCCGCAGCCAGACTTGATAAGCTTTGGTAGATTTGAATATGAAAGGTACAAGATTTGGGTGGAGATTGTATCTGTAGCAATGGTACCCTTTGGACCCAATCGTGAAAATGAAAACTGTGTGAGGGACCAACCTGATCTATATCGTGTCTCTGGTTCATGATGTTCTCTCCTCCTACTCCTTGAACTTCTGCGCCCCACCCCTGAGCCACCTTGGTCCGGTGGTCCTCCTGGAGAGAGAGAAAGAAAATTGGGAGATGCAATGAAAATGACAATTGTTTATTAAAGATGTACAAAGATAAATTATTGCAGCAAGAGCCTGATCATAATCTAAACATCATGATTCCAGAGCACCTGAACATCCTGTGCTAAAAGTTTGTTGACATTTATCACATCAATTTCTTGTAACCAGACTCTTCGATGCACAGGGTGTTGCAGAACATCTACATGTAGAGTATATGTACTGTTGAACATATGAGGAAAAGTGGATACCGGTACTTCTACTTCTACTTCTATGGTAATACTCATTAACGCCTGTTCATCATCTAGATGAGGGTAATACAATATTAACCAAGTCAAACACTCAGTAACAAACAAATGATTTAATGTTAACACCTACAACAATTTCAAAATAATTACGTCATCTTTATCATGAACAGAGTATCAAGATAATAATAATAATAATATTTCATTTACAAAGCGCCTTTTCATTGGATATAAAGCGCATACAAGTACCAATGAACTTACAAATGTTAGCATTCTTCTCTACCGGTAATTAAATTTATTTATATTATATACAAACTCAATTTCATATTACACCATTTGAAACTTGTATTTTTCTTTAGGGTACACTGTCAGTCAAGTAGAATACAATTTTGAATAATTTTTATACAAAATCATCCCATGAAATGCCCCACTTTTGACATCTCATTTTCTGTGGATGCTGAGCATATTGTACCTGGTTGAAAGACGAATTCATCGTTGCCTTCTAACAGGAAATGAGAAAGTCGTGATCTGGCGACTTGATAATCCATCACTATGACGCCTTAAATCCTCACAGATACTTGGTCCAAGAAAACAAGATTTCAATATGCTTTCAGCAAAGGCACAAATCGAGCCTGGTAGCAAGCAATTAGAGGTTTGTTTTGAAAATGTTTTTGAGAGACAGTTTGACGGTTTTTGTCTCAGCTAGATACTGTTCATCGTCTTCAAATTTCAGGATTCCTTGCCTGGTGAAGTTATAAAATAGTTAGGTCCAATTATTCACATCCAGTAGCTTTATCAAGAAATGTATTGCACCTTGCATTGTTCAAACATGTGAACTATATTGCAAGGATCTGTTGGCAAGAAGAACTACAAAGCATTGAAAGGAAATGTTGAAATTAATCACTCTCAATTTCTGGAAGACTCAAAAATGGTTACAACGGAACGGAAAAACTTGAAGAATCTGAAGAATAGATACTTGTACGTGTATATTGTATGATCCTCCTGTAGAAAACCTAAAAAATTATGATCCGGAAAAAAAAAGTACTGCGTACTGGTGCAACCAAAGCGTAACTGAGCAGTTGCTAACATTGAGTTACAATGTGCCTTACATATACCCCGTGACAAATCTTGAGCGGTGAGGTATGAAGGTGAGTATGATACATGAGTTTCTACGAACGAACCAAAGTTCAAGCAATGACTAATAGGACATCCACATTGTTGAATGCGTACACACAGAGCATTGTAGAATGCACCACAGGCGATAACAATAGATACGAAACCAACTGTGGGCAGAATCAATTGGTAGAGCAATGGCCCTTTCACTCTCCAGACAGCAAAATTTGTGAGCTTCAGAAAAATGTGTGATATACATGTATGTCCGATAACAAGCGTGTCTATAGCAACTTAGAAAGGTGTTTTTTCCTCAATCAATTACATGTAATCTTACTTGATCATAAAAATTGAGACTTCATGGATGTTTTACTTTTAAAAATAAGGGAAATTGTTCATAAATTTGACAAAGGAATTACAAAAAACTTTCTTTGTTGAGAATTAGGAAAATTTCCATTTGGTTTCTACCATGACAGGGACAATTGGTGACCATGCATACCAATAACATGAAAGTGCCGCAGAGATGATAAGTCTATGCATGTTTCAGCCTCGAACAAACAAAAGGTTATTTCTAATTAGTGGAGGGGGGGGGGGGAGAGGGGGGAGGACGCACAGGGTATGTGCCCCCACTTGAACCAAATCTACTCTACCTTCATACAAAACTGAGGGGGGGGGGATGTGTAGTAATATTTCCTTATCATTCTGAAAACCTGTAACCCCCCTCCCCCCCAAAAAAAATATCCTCAGTCAAAGGATAACGAATCCTATGCCATTGTTCAAATTCGTGTTTTGATAAAGGCAGATGTTTTGAGAGGACAATACTTCCAATGAGACAATGTACACAGATATGGTTGAGACAATGTACACTATATGCTTTAGACAATGGCTTTCTTTTTCCGTGAGACGCCAGCATAAATGTGAAACTCCTCAAAAACCATTTATCACATGACTGCTTTAAAGGTAGTGTAGCGTTGACAATCATAAATCAAAATGGAATCTTGATAATTCGTAAGAAATTCTTTCATAGTCACTGATAAATCTATCTTTTTGATCTTTAGAAATGGACAAACTATAAATTAAATGAAAACTATGAATTAATTAAACGAAAAATATTTGCATATCGAAGCACAGCTACAGGCCCATGCCAGGCTTGTTAGCCCCCTACACAAAATTATACAGCAACTTTCTTTTATTTTAGCTAAATTCCGATAATTTACAAAGTTTTCCTATCTTTCAAAAAAGTATATCCATGAATAAGTACTCACAAGGATAAAAACCATTAATAGATTTTAAAGCCGTCATGTGTTATGCACTTATATTAGTTTTTGTTATATTTGCAATAACATTTATATTTTTTTCCTCTCAGAGCATTTCAATCAAATGGCTGTACTGATTTTTCTTTGCTCCACCTCCCTCCCCCCCCCCCCCCCCCCTCAAGGAAAACCAGGATCGCAACTGAAAACAAATCAAATGATTGAAAATTAAAATTTAACTGGGGGAATCCCAGAGGATAATAAAAAAAGTGGTACCAATATCACTGGTATCTTAAAACAACATAATGTAAGATTTAATCATAACAGAACCATGATTAAATACAAGCCCCTGGGGGCACTTTATAACAAATATGTAACTATGTATACACTTTCACTCTCGATCGGTTCATTCACACACAAGAAAACTGTGAGATGTTAATCTTGAATAAAATCTCACTTTTCTGCGGTCGGTCACTGAGCGGGATATCAGAAATGGATTTTTTTCTCACCTCACTTTTGCTGACAATGGCTGGCAAATGACTATGGTCATGCACAAAAATGCAATAATTGTAAGATTTGAAATGCAGTTGGAATTTCACTAATTCGGGAGATAGTTTGGTTCATAAATAAGAATTGAGATTAAAATGCAAAGTAGATGTAAGACAAATGGCACAGGTTTTATACAATTCTCTCATAGGTATGCATCGTCCAGCGATAACATTTAATTAACTTCTGTTCTAGTTGGCATTCTAACTGACAAAACACACTTCATAATAAACATCTGCCAGTGCCAGAGGAAAATACAGCAAAGATCATAACAAGAAGAAGAGAATTTTCAAAGTTACAATAATCCCAGAAAAATTCATTCTAACACATACATGTACGCAGTCCATCAATCACAACACTCATGTAAACCAAGTCAAACAAGAATAGACAAATCTGAAAGTAATTCCTTGCGACCTGATTTCAGCTTCTAACAAAGCAAAAAAATTAAAAAATAGAATCTGATTCCTAATCCCCACAACGGTACATGTGCAAGCACACCGCTCTTTATATCTGCTGCAACCAAATTGAAGATAACTTGTCACATCCGTTTCCAAATCCACAAAAGGGAGGTTCAATCGGCAGAAAAGCAAACGGCTCACAAAAGATTGATATTTACAAGTACTAAAACTCCTCCATTGACAACTGTATATCACACCACCTGAAGTTCTGCACCTCGCTTCTCTAGCCTCTCCAATAAACTTTGCATTTACAAAATTACACATTTAGCAAACTTGATATGCTTTAGGTGCCAAAATGAGGACCATGTCCTTGATGAAAATGGCAAAGAAATTAATAACCGATCAATCTCGAATCCTGAGGAAGCGCTGAGCACTGAAACTGAAAGGTTTTGCTCCTTCACAGACCATGGATGGGTGGATACATATATTCCAGGGAATCATACAGTTCCATGCATTTTCCAAACAGCAACACGTTGGTTGTGGTCTGTGGGTCGTCTGCGATCCTTCGCTAACGAGATCGAGGTCTGCGCGAACCCTAGGTACTGTATGATTGATCCCTTCTGCCCAGACAAGTAGACACAACAACAAGGGTCACTCCCAAATTCCTCTCCTCACGTTCAGTTCACCAAGTTGATTGGCAAGAAAGAGAGAGATGGGGGGAGGGGGGTGAGAAGAAAGACAGAGAAAAGAAAAGAGAGGGAAAGAGGAAGAGAGGGAAAGAGGAAGAGAGGGAAAGAGGGGGAGAGGACAGAGAGAGAGAGAGATAGGGGGGGGGGTGAGAAGAAAGACAGAGAAAAGAAAAGAGATGGAAAGAGGGGAAGAGGACAGAGAGAGAGAGAGAGAGAGAGAGAGAGAGAGAGAGAGAGAGATAGAGAGAGAGAGAGAGAAAGAGAGAGAGAGAGAGAAAGAGAGAGAGAGAGAGAGAGAGAGGGAGAGAGAGAGAGACACACACACACACACACATGTAGACAGGACTGGCTGTAGAGTTACATTTCTGAGATCAGAAATGCAAAGTAGGCCCTAGAGCCAAAGGTTTTAAGACTGTATTACAGTTCTGCCTCCTCCTATGGACTTCATAAACAATCTCAACTGTGGCTGCTACAAAATCATGAAAATATGAGCACTTTTGTGACAAATTGCAGCAATAGAACATCGGGGCCACACCATGGTTGACGGACACATCACTGTAAATTTTAGATATTATCTTGGTATAGGTATGCACAAAATACTAACCACATGAAAGTGCAACTGAAAAAAAAAATGATAAAAGACCATTACATCCTTGAAGCCCTTTATTATTCTACACTGCACATTCACCATAGTCTTACATCTTATGTTCAAGATTATAATATTCTCCCCCACTCAACTGGATGACAT